GTTGGAAGAAATGCGATGATGCGGGGTGAGGATGGAACCTACAACACGAGGGAGATAGTGGTAAGTAGAAGAGAAAAAGTTAAAGTCGTGCCATGGACATACCGGACCGGACCTCCCACGTGCCTCGCGTACACTTTTCTCTTCACCTTCTACTCCCATCTTCCCTCGACTTCAACATCCCTAACAGTTTGTAAGTCTCACGAGAGCAATCGTCCCTATTTGTAGGGCCATTTTTGATCCGAGACGACGCATCGACGTCCGGCGAGCAAGGCTCTGAGGATTGTAAGTCATTATTTTCACATCGGATTTATTGACTAAGTTTTATTTCAAAGTCGCATAGAGTTCTGACAAGATTCAAGCCTTGCGGAGCGAACAGCACATTGGGTAAGTATTATTTTGCGTATCTGAATGACGTACTCAGTAGTTGGTATAGATATGCTCTGAGACGATGTATCGCCTTCCGACAAGGAAGATCGCAAGTCTGCGTGAGTATTCTTTGATTCGTTACCGTCTTGCAGTGAGAGAGGGTGTGTCGAAGACTGGAGAATGAGGCAGTAAGTCGAGATTCAGGTCATTTTGAGATCCAATTTACTCATTTTTGTCTTCCAAGTTGAGTGGAAATGTCTGGGATCGAGCGAATGTGCGCCGCCTCATACGTTCTGAGATTGATTTTGGGCTGAGACGACAAATCGACGTCCGGTGAGTAATTGTAAGTGTGCTCAGGAGGGTTCTAGGAACGAATTGACTGACTTTTTGACAAGAATACTCATGGCACGGGATTGCACGCGGAATCACCTCATAAAAGGACGGGGAAAGTGCACACACGCACATGCGGGGAGGGCCTAAAAATAGCCCCAGACTGTGCGGATACGCGGGGGTTGGACTAACACCGAGTAGGACGATCCCCGAGAGTCGGCTTTGTGCGGACTGGAGACGTCCGAAATATTGATGGGGGTCCTGTTGTGTGAATAGCTGTCTTGGGCGAGTCCCAAGGCAGCAATTTTTTTTTTTCGACCTGCAGTTGTTGGAATAGAGGGTGTAGTTATGCTAGGACAAGTAGATCACATAATCCCAGAAAGCGGATTTCGCTCTAACTCACCCACACGAGAGTTTTATCGGTGAATGCGCGGCGCAATTTTCACAGAATAGCCATGTTCGGCGCGCTCTCGAGGCCCTGACGTGCACAGTCAATCCCATCAATTACTCCAGAGGGCAACTTTGACCATGACCCGAAATACACTATTAATGCTCGCACATATTGAACGGGTGTACTGAACATATTCTCGTATTCTCACTAACGAACGCTGTCCGCAACCGGAGCCTCAACCTCTTCTTCCTCCCTCGTCATGGGTTCCATAAAGTCCAAAATGAGATCCCAACTTTTGATGGGAGTCCCGCAATTTGTCAACGACGCCGATGAACACACCGCGCCACCCCTCTCACAGGATTCTTCTTGCCCTCTTGAAAGGAGCTGTGAGTACCGTCTGACGGATTATCCACTAATGAAGCTCACCTCTGCTTGGCCGACAGGTGCATGGGCAGCACTGCCCATTTACTCTCTTGCAGCAATGGCATAGTTCTATTCTGTCACCTAAAGAAAGATGTTATTCAAGTAAGGGCAGTAGTCATGCACTGTCATCAATGTGCGATAGCGACTGTGCTTACCCTATCTTTTTCCCGCAGATATCGCATGTTTTCGGATTCTGGATCCTCGTAGTAGCGACGCCACGTTCTTCGGACGAGGCCATCATAAAAATCAGTTTAGTTTCGACTCTGAAAGACTTAGCAAGGTCGTGACTGGTGAGGGATGTGATTTGAAGACCAGAGCTGCTAGACTCTTAAATACTATTAGCGGGCTCATAGTGGATGATGGTCTGGAGTTAAACGCGAGCACGTTGCCCGGGCCATTTGGACCAGCCCGGGTAGGTCGGGTTTGGCTGGGTATGTCGGGTCGAGGTCAGGTCACTACTCCGTGACCCGTCACCCACCCGGCACACCCGACTCACCCGACTCAACGTAACAGCTGAATTTATGTCTGCTTGCTACTTCCGCTGTCAGTGTATTCCTTTTATCCTTCGGAAACTTTTCTTTTTTGGTATTGTACAGCTGTACAGTTGTGTTAGCTAAGCCAGAAAAAAATCGTCAGTCAAATCTGGGACACACACACACACACACCTTCCATTATCAATATGCCTCAAGCAGCCGAACCTGATCCCCCTCTCGTAAAGGGCAAACATAGGCATATTGAGACAGAGCGTCATCGTCTTGGGGTTCAGCAAGCTGCCGAAGAACCTACTTCTTCCGTCTCATCACTCCCTTCCTCCATTAGGCGTGCGACGAAGAAGGCTAGGAACACGGTCAAGAAGGCTGGCTCGGCTGTCAAGAAGCTCACGCGACGCAAGAAAACAGCAACATCCGTGCAACCCGTGTAACCCGTTGCACGCCCGTGGCCCGTTGCACGGGTGATCCGGTTTGCTCGGGTACGGGACGGGTGCCAAAATTGTGACCCGAACTCGACCCGGACTGTTCACTAGGTTCCCACCTCCACCAATGAGCCCCGTATCAGCACATGTTTCTTGTTTGTAGAGCCTGTAATGGACGCGTATGCACACCTTTCACTGTCTTCTTTTCCCATTATTTTATTTCACTTGTGATTCTGAGCGGGTCAGACCCGTCTTTCGTGACTGAAAATCTATGACTCATAACCGCTGTCGAGACGTGTCTCTCAATACTTAAAAGAGTGCCACATCTTGCGAGGGCAAGTACGCATGTACCTTTGGCTGACTAGCCACGGGAACCGTGCGCAGATTATTCTCTCAAGTCCTGCATCGCCACTGTAGTGGGAAGGGTTTACAGGGACTGTTGGTCCTGCTCGGCGATGCGGCCAATACCTTTTTATATTCAGCTAATTCGACGTATGAACATCGATGACACAATGTAGATATTCGTGGATTTGTTGGGGTGAACATCGCCGAGGAACCCTTTTGTACCGGCTCTTCTTCATCGCTTTCCTCTGCGTCGTCGGTTGCCGCATTATTCTGAAACGCCCAATGTTAGGACGAGGCTAGAGGCGGAGGAAAGGAAAGGACTACTCACAAGTAATGGCGGCAACCTTAGATACTCCGGGTCTTCAAAGTCGTACTCATTGCTGTCTTCCCATGATGTATCAAGGGGCTCGTCTCCTGATTCGGACACTTCGTCGGGATATTCCTCCTTGCCCCTTTCATCCTCCCAACTGTCTTCGAGGTCATAATAGTCCTCTGAATCGTCGTCACTGTTGTCGTCGTCGAAGCCATGAACCTGCTCCATGCGAACGCGAAACCCTGCTGCTGTACGACAGTGCTTGTCACACGGCACACAGTAGTGATGATTCGGTGCAGTGACACAGTGCTACGAAAGGAACACGTTAGTTTGGTCGACAAGCGCGGAGATGTAACAACTTACACGACGAAGAATTTGGCCATTCAAAAATTGACGGCCACATCTCCAACATTCCGGATGGTCGTTGGAGTTCATAATGTGCTCCGCTCGTTGCCGTTTATCGAAGAAGTACTCGTCGCACAGGGCGCAGTACACTCCGTCCATGCATATCATATCAGTAGACATGACGATAGATGATAATAGTTGTTTGGTTCGATGGTGGTTGTTGTTGGTTGTTCAAAGTGTGTTAATGTGGGGATCCAGGTAGAGGGAGGCCTCCGTTTTATACATTTTGTCGGTAGGCGCGTGTTTTGGCACGTCTTAGACATAGCGTCCGGAGAAACCAGTTCCGGTTCTTCGAATATGGCCCCTCGAGTTAAAAGGAGGCATTTTTTGGTTCCACGGAATTATCGTCTGCGATCGGTCAAAAGGGGCTATTGCTATCGGACACAGTTTCATAGGGCGGTGAATCCTTGTCCGGCGGGAGCTATGAGCAAGCACTGCGGTGTGATTACTTATGCTCGAGGAATGATGACGACGTGTAGAATGAGATTCTCCGTAGCGACTCGATTGCTTCTGTGCCTCCATACCAACGCAGGTCTCACTGATACGTCGAAGAGGAGGTCGATCCGGCGAAACAATGTTCCAAAACCACCGGTTTCTCCGCGGTCGAGAATCTCTGTCAACAGATGGGTGAGCGTGCAGTGAGAAAATGAAGTGCACGGTACGAACTTGTTGAGGATCTGATGTTAGCCTAAAAGGAAAGCGAGCGAGCGCTTCAAGGGGGCAGTATCTGAAGCCACAAAGACAGCAGCAGCAGGTATTCTATGTAATGCATGAGCAATCCATCTTTACGAACAAACTGAGGCAGGAAGGCCTACCTTGCGAGGTGACTCAGTATCGCTCTTGCGTCCATAATTTCCCTCAGCAGCGCGACAACTTCGCAGCGACAGCATCCATGCATAACTTCAGGGTCTCGTGCAAGAATGTCGTGATTGTCGGTCCAATGGCAGCAGTTTTGACTGGATCCAGGTCGAAGCCTTCCTTCAGAAATGGTAGAACAAATCCTGCAGCCTCATTCGGCGTCTCGAGGACAATGTCTTTCGAATACCGCGCTGTCTGCTGTCCTGGAAGGCTCTTCACGGATGTCATCGTTGGGCATGGTGGAACTTAGCGTCGAGGCAGTAGCCTTCTCGACAACATAGGAGGAAAATGCTGTCGCTGAGGGTGAGATCAGGATATTAGGTAGGGGTATACGACGTACCGTCGTTCCCTGCACCGTTTGCCTTATCCAAAACTCTGAATGAGCATACACTGGTCATGATAATTCCGTCGAAATCCCCCTACATGGTTCCCAACGAGAGCTCACTGGTGACATTGGTGAGCAGCATCTCGAGTACTAGGATCAGAGTGCGTGTTTTGTTACAATAAAAGCGGCTTCATGATGGTCCTGGCGACTGCCGGACGACGGTATCAGATTGCAAAGAAAGAGAATGTTGGTAGTGGACGTCATGGTGGTCGGCGGCAAAGAGCGGGACAGGGTAATGTGACCTTGATCATCGACCATCACGACGTCGACGGCTCGCTCTCGTTGTCGTCCAGGACGATTCCTCCCCCAAAGACGAAGACTACGTTCCATGGTACGTATTTAATTCGTGTTGACGAGATACTGCTCACCCTGCTGCAGTAGCGTCCAAATTCTCGAACGCCTGCGGCAGCCCTGCAGCAGCCAGGTGCTAGATATCGACGAACGGGTTCTCCTTGAATATCTTTGGCAGTTTTGGACGACATACCGTGAAGATTTCTGTTGCTCTAATCCGAGCTCGATGTCCTATGACTGGAATCAGTAACGTCAACTACGACAAAACGTCAGGAACTAAAAAGATGGCCGAGATAGGAAAAGAATATCTCATCGTTGGCAAGAATGATATTGTACGTCCACTACCATGTTTCTGTAGCACTTCACTCTTACTGCATTCAATAGAGAAACTGCTGAACACGACTATCACTATAGCTGGAGTCATCATTACCTCTACGAGTCATTAGAATGTCCATTTCATGCGGAATTCTTGATAGAGCGGCAACTACACATTGTTATATCGGAAGGTGATAACTAGGAATCAACACCGCTTAACTGCAAGGCATTAGGTTTTCCAGTCTTACAGTTTACAGTTTAAAGGGCGCTAGAGTCAGCTTCCCGTTTCAATAAACAACGAATACCATTTCTCTCTTATCCGACTACTAGCCTCTATCTGACATGAATGCAAGAATCAATTTCGTCCAGAAGCTACACATAAATACGACGCTCCTCCGGTTCGTGATACGGGTAGGCAACAATTGCAACATCGAAGCCCCCAGCTTTCATCTTATGCAACCGCCTGAGATCATCATCAGTCCAATCACAGAACGTGTCCACACCATAATCTGAAAATGTCGAGGTGACCTGGAACTTCCTCAACGAGGATGCTCGCCGCGCCTCAATCATGTCCACCATCTCTTGATTAAAAAAGAAAACCCGGGACCACTCATACCAAAGAACTAGATCGAACGTGATGCTCTCTAGACGTGGGACGAGCTCAGGCGACTCTAATAGATGGCGGAAGAGACTCTGCACGCTGTCATCGTCGCTAATATGCCAATCGCGCGCCCTGACTCGGACGCTGAAAGAGGCTAGAGCAGGTGATAATCGGAAGATGGGAAGTAAACTTTCATTCAGATGGACGTCGGAAATGGACAAATGGGTAAGAGTGTGGCACTGTGAGTGGGAGAGAAGATCATGGAAATCTCCTAAGCAACCTGCAATGTCCTCGAGAGTTCGAAAGAGGTTGGCGTGCTTCAGTTGCGGAAGGGAGAGACTATGGAATAAGGTCTCCTCGCAGCCTGAGAAGTACGTGATAGCTGGTTTCGATATACGCGGCCAGGCGGCGTGCGCTCCAACACAATGATATGATGTATGAAATTCTGTTAATTTTGGGGAATGATGCAGTAGGCTGATGAAATACGTGTGTATCGCATCCGATGCATGCCAATGCCTCCTTTGGTCTTTAAAGGTCTCGAGATTGGCATACGAGACGGGAACAAGTGTAGTAGGACCTAGACCAACCAGAGTCATCCGCTTCAGTTTCGGCGTGTGTTCGAATGCATCAATGAGATCAGGGCTTGGCCCTGGATGGTTATAGTCGCGCTGAATGTAGCACTCCTCCAATTGCACGAGTCGCCCACGAAGACAGGCGAGATGAGACGGTTCCTGATGACCGAGGGTATGATAGATCTTTGACCAGCGCTCTGCATGAGCAGCCACTTGTTCCCACATGGCCCACTGGAACGGTTCCTCCGCACGGTAGGACATGAGGAATTCGATATCCAATACGTGTTGGCCCGATCGAGATAGCACCGTTCGAAGCATTGAGATAGGATCCCTCTTTCCCCTCAATTCGTCCAAGTCGCCATTAAAGTCAATGTCTATCTTTGACCACATCGCAGGACACATGGAAGTCGACACGGATCGCCATGACCTGCAGACCTGCGAAATGGTCCAGGAATGGTGCCGTATGTCGAAAATGCAACACGAAGTGTCCAGACTTGAAGCGCGTGAGAAAATTTCTATGAGAATCTCGGCGGGAACTTGGTGCTGGGCGGGCGCTGGCGCCGATGGACTTTCAGGAAGGGCAAGTTCGACGCGTGGGTGCTGGTACGACGACTGGGAAGGGTCATCGGGATTTGGAAATACGCATAGAGGATCGTGCTCAGCGCCGCCTTTGCATTGGAATTGACGCTTCTGAATGAGAAAATTAAGCTTAAGGCAAAAGCGAAGGAATACATCACTACTTACGTCCAAGGAGACATCATTAGCCATAAGGAATCGGGATGCAGGTAAGTGCCTGGAAATTCGCTTAGACTAGAGAGTACGATTGAGTATGACTAAAACAGAACGTATAAGGACGAAGACACCGTGAAAGAGTCACCGTTGTAGGTAGAACTAAGAAAAGGGAAAAATGCGGTGGGAATCTTCCTCGGTATTTGCCGATATTAGCTTTTTTAACCAAGTTTGGTCTCCCTTCAATCTCCCTTGGTGCGCCATATCTTACCTTTTGACCATGGCGTCTGTGGCATATTCCTCAAAACTGCAGGTGCTGAATGTACCTTGTGAGTAAGGTCTGTCCTTCGAACGTGCTGATGTTTACTGTGATTCAGCTTAACTATGGTCTATATATATGAAGGAAGCCGAGCATAGTCAAGATTCCGTTCATCAGCCCAAAGGGGTCTGATTTTATGATTTCTTATCAGCTGATCGGTACAAGTATGTCGTGATGGCCCCTTTTTCCAGTTAACCTCTGACCTCAACTTGTAACGGAGGGACAGTCACATCTTTGCTACGATCATGGCCGGTACCAACAAGTCCACTCGCAAGGCTCCCAACCTTCACCCAACAGGAAGATGCAGACACCCTTTCCTCGAACGAGATGGCTGGGGAGACGAAGAGGGTGTTGATATTCCAGTCCCAGTATCATTCTTTCTACCTTACTCACATTCTTTTTCTAACACATTCGTAGTTCAATGAGCTGACGATGTGCGAGCTCTCTGCCACGATACGCGATAAACCCAACTGGTGGGAGAAATGCAAGGATCCAGCAATTCGTGCTAAGTGGAAGGAGGAAGCCGCAACCCAAGCGGGGAGTTACCAGTGTCGGCCGCTTCAGGAAGACGAGATAGACTATGTGCTCGATGAGCTTGAAGGATACGCTGCTGTTCGAGATTCAGATACTGGAATTGAGGTGAGTACATGTTTTCCCCCTTTCGTTTTACTGCTAATGAACTATGTGATAGCCATCTTGCTATCGTCGAATCTGGCAGTCAGACAGCCTAATCGAAAACACCCTTCGGGAATCCCTTATATCCTCTGTAGCACCCCTTGAGAATGTCCCCGACGCTGAAAAAGACTGGCATCCACGAGCAAACGAGCAAGTTTTGGACCTCGTCCATCCCTCCCTTTACTGTATCGTTTACAACCGTACCCTCATTCGGAACGCCGATGGATCAGCTGTTCCCCTTCGATGCGAACTCTCTGAGGATGACGACTCAGACTCTGATTACACCATCTCGTTGCATTTTTCCTGGCTTTCTACAGACTTTCTCATCTCGCCGGATGGTAAGAGCGCCAAGAGTTTAGGATATATTAATAACATCCATCCGAGAAATGATACTGCGCTACACGCCATCATCGAGACACTCGTCGCGCGCTTCACCCCACTATGGTCACGCGTACTCGCCGAGTCTAAAGAAGATTACAAACTCCCATTACGGACTCTTACACACTACGATTGGGACCCTACAGAGTGGGATTATAATCGGGACCACCGTCTACCGGAGGACCCGACTGACGAGGATTACGAGGCGCACGATGAAGCTTGGAAAGTGATACGTACAATGCAATACCCCCGTTTGTTGGAGCGTTACCATCCCGATGGTCTGGGCTTCCCAAAACCAATGGACCTCAATGGGAGAAAGCTCCAGGTCATCGTCAAGCTTGCGAACATCCTCTTGGTGCGTGTATTCCCTCTCGAATCTTCCTGCTTTGACGCGTCGCCCAGACACCAGAAAAACCTGTCTACGAAGGCGGATCCTGGCATGTCGAAGGCATGAAGAACGAATGTATCGTCTCCACGGGGATCTACTATTACGACCAAGAGAACATCTCGCAGAGCAAGCTTTCTTTCCGCGTGAGCGTCGCAGAGCCAGAGAGCTATGACCAGGATGACGAGGACGGGACTATGGCCGTCTGGGGCTTATCTCGGTAAGCACAGGCCATTGCACTGCTAAGTGAAGCCTCGAATTTCTTCCTTAACTCACAGGGACGAGCCGTTGAACCAAGTCATCGGAAGTGTATCCACCAAAGCGGGCCGTTGCATCGCGTTTCCGAACATGTACCAGCACTGCGTGTCGCCATTTTCCCTTCTGGATCCCTCAAAACCGGGGTATCGAAAGATCGTTGCGCTCTTCCTGGTTGACCCCGAGCTTGAGGTCCCAAGGCCGTCTACGACAACCGTGCCGCCTCAGCGCCGGGACTGGTGGTCGCAAGAGCTGCTTGAGCTGGCGGAGGAAGGTGATAGTCTGTTGGGACGCCTACCTACGGAGTTGTTGGATCTCATTTTGGACTTTATGGAACTTATGACGAGGGAGGAAGCAGAGGAGTTGAGGCTCCGGCTGATGGATGAGCGGACGGCGTTCGTTAGTGAGAATAATGAGAATATGTTCGATACTCCGTTCAATATGTGCGAGCATTAGTGTAATTTCATTAGTATTCATGTTCTTGAATGGGATCTTGTAGTCTGGTATCGAGCGTACAAACATACATATGGTAAATCGAAAGATATAGAATGCACCTCTACTCAGAAGCAGAGAGGATAGGAAACGCATAAAGGGAAGAAAGAAGACAGATTGGTACCATAAAGATAAAAGAAAGTCGATCCGGAAGCCTAACCAGTAACCCAGCAACGCAGGAGTCAATGATAACCTCAGTGCACAAAGCCTTCTCTCCCGAGTTTCTTCATGAAGTCCAGCTGTTCAGATATCGAGCCCAATCACTGTCCAGCCTAAGGATTGTTACTGTTAGAAATTTCAATACAACGGCGGAGAGACATACTCCGTGCATGCATTGGGTAGTGTACCATCGTTGTTGAAGTTTGCGGAGCTCGTCCACAAGAGAGAAGAGGTGGGCGTCAGGTCGTCATTGAGTAGCTTGCCATGGTCATAGGAAGGAAAGCTCTGTTGGGAAGGTATGTCTGCTTGTGGGTTAATAATAAATGGCCATACTCCATTCGTCGACGATTCGGGGGCTGCAGCTGCGGTGGATGACACTGGAGGGTCTGACGGCCCATCACAATTTGCCGAAGTCAGTTCATAGAGAATATCCCTAGTATCGGACAATGGCATTAGCGGTTGGAGATAGGAGATGCTTGTACCTGCTTACGACAGTAATCCTGCATAATGGTACCTAGTGCATTCCCCTTCAGGATCGATGATAAATGTCGAGAGTGTAAATACTCGTACCCGTTTTCCATATCCGCAAGGACTTCCATGCACTTTAGCACGTCGTCCATCTCCCTCCTGGATCCGACATCAGGCCTATTTTTTCCCCACATGTTAAATAGCAGGACGATCGCAGCGTTGAATGTCAATAACTACATACCAGTAGAGATGAGACTGTAATATTGCGCGAGGTTACACGTCACTCACCCCAGCTACAGGGAATATCATTCCACTCCGACAGCTCTGGATATGAGCGACCCGGGAGTAAGAACGGGCCGCGTTGGTGCATATGGCTAGAGACGGAAAGCGGGCCTTTGACGGATCATGTTCTGGCGCCGTGATGAAAGGTCTATGAATCAGCATCTGTACGTGGTAGTACGAAAGATGTAGTGCAGCGGATTGGTTGAAATGCATGAGGTTCTCTCGGGCCGGGTCCCATCGCACTGGATTGGATTGAATGGTGGTAGTGAGTTGGGGCGCTGAGGGGAAATTAAATACGTACGGTGTTCCGGGAGGGAGTCCATCCATTTATTCAGTCCCGAATCGAGCTCCACAACGATTTGTTGTTCCCAGTTTTCGTCTAGCAGTTTGAGTATGACTTTGGAGTGGCGGATGGAGTACTGGACAATAGTCAGGTTGGAGGAGGAGACGGAAAGGAAAGGAAGGTACATACGATTGTTCGTAAACAGATCACTAGCAAGCGGGTTAATCGCAGATGGTAATTGAAATATGATACTGCGGAGGGTTGTCCTGCTGGTTGCGTGAACATCTGCTGAGGGTCCGAATGTTCCCAGTATTCGTCATCGCACTCAGTCGGCAGGGCAACATCGATACTAGAAGGTATGTCAAATAACGGGAAGAGGGAACGGATGCAAGAAATAATACTCTTCATCATAGATCATACACGGGCGACCTAGTGCTGAACTGAGTAATCTGTCCATACTCACTAGGCACCTAAAAAGACCATCAGGTACAATCGATTAATCACCAGCATGCCTCTTACCAAAAAGCGCGTTTCCATAGCTCTCCTTCCGCAGCTTTTGTACGGTCGCCGGGCCGTTTCCTATGGGCACCTGCATCCTGTGCTATTCGGAGGCCTATGCCCACGGTTATCCAGGCTTGGTGTGGCACTGATGATCCTAACACGAAATAACCAAGGAGCTAGGATAGACTCAAACGGTGAGAATATCTAACCCAGCAGGAGAAGTCACTCACACAGCAAAGTTGCGCATCAAGCAGAGAAGGCGCATTCATTCCGGGATAGGCCCTGTTCATACCAATAACTTGATTCGCCCACTTCCAACCACTCGACAGCTTTGAGGTTTCGTCAACTAATACTCGAGGATCGTCTGAGTATCTGGACGCCACCGCACATACGGCCAGTAGGACAGCAGCAAACGAGGCGTCTTTGAAGTGACGTCCATCTATTACCGATCTCTCCAAAGTTGGTCGGTGTAGCAGAGGGAAAAAGATGTTGACGCGCGTAAAGTACAGGTCAATCAGTGATGTCAATAAATCGTCCTCTGGGAAAGAGAACAAAGAGTATTGAGCGAGGTATCGTGATGGGTCATGCCAAGGGCGGATACACCAAAACTCTGGCCTCATCGATGTGAAATTCTGCACGTCGTGTAAGGTACCGGGGCGCCATAGTTTGCAATCAAGAGCAGTCTGTACTAGATGGGCACTGCTGGACTTGCCATGGAACCTGTATCCTAGAACGTATCCTTGAAATCGCTCCAGATTGCTTTCTAGAGCTGCATCAATATCGCTCTCATCCGATAAGGAGGGGGCATCGGAGTCACTGACATCCCTGCTATAAGATTGCAGGAGTTCCGTTATGACGCTGGAACGAGGGTCCCCCTCCTCGAGTTCCTTGTCCAAGTCCGTTTCAGGTGGAAGTATCTGTTAGGCTATTACCCTTTTTGTTTTGTCATGAAGGGAACAAGTGTACTTACCTTACGCAGAAGCTGTTCCATTGCTTCGGCCTTACTCTCCAACTGATTGATGTATCTAGGGCTCGGAGTTATATTCAATACACCTCATAGTAGAGAAGCACCAGACGAACAGCATAGATGATGCACCCTGAAAGGAGCCGTGAGTACCGTCTGACTGATTATCCACTAACGAAGCTCACCTCTACTTGGCCGACATAGGTGCACTGCAAATTTCCTTTCTTGCAGCGAGTGCATGATTTACCAGGAAAAGAACTTGAAGACCTGTCACCTAAAGAAAGATGTTTTCAATTTCCTGCCAACTCGAGGACGCGGCATACATCGAACTTGAGAAGGGCAGTAGTCATGCACTGTTGTCAATGCGCGATAGCGACTGTGCTTACCTTTCTTTTTCCTGCAGATATCGCACGCTTTCAGATTCCGGATCCTCGTAGTAGCGATGCCGCCTTCTTCGGACCAATACGAGGCCATCATAAAAATCAGTTTCGTTTCGACTCTGAAAGACTTAGCAAGGTCGTGGCTGGTAGGGGGACGTGATTGAAGACGAGAATAAGGAACGACTCTAACGGCCGGGGGGCTGCTAGACTCTTAAATACCATTAGCGGGATCATAGCGGATGATGGTCTGGAGTTAACGCGAGCACGTGCCCGGGCCATTTGGAGTTGCTGACACGAACCTCTGTACGTGCGCTTGATCACCTCCGCGCGCGGTTCCTACCTCCACCAACGAGCCTCGTATCAGCACATGTTCCTTGTTTGTAGATGACTGTAATATACACGTATGCACACCCCTCACTGTCTTCTTTTCTCCTTATTTCCCTTGTGATTCTGACCACCACATCCACTCGTGTACATGGTGAACAGCAACACGGCGCAGCCCAGAGACGTCCACAAACCGCTACGCCGCCCTCTACAAGCATCCGCGACACTCCCCAAAGAGACCCTCCATCTCCCCAACGGCGTGTTCTTGATCGATGATGCAACACCCTCGGCGCCTCCATCCACATCCACACTCCCTTCAGTACACTGCCTGGCCATCCTCCCATCCCACCAACAATCGATTCCCGCCTACACAATGTACTCCGTCACCCCTAGACGCATCCTTCACCGGTGGGATCATCCACGTCTCCACCCCTCGGTCACTCCCTCTCTCCCCGGGTCGATGAACGGATCGACGTCACCCGCTGCTTCAGCTTGTGGGCGCGTTCAAGGACGAGGAAAGCATTACCCTGTTGCGATGCAGTAATCAGTACGTGTTGAGGATAGAACAGCTCAGTCAGTCACTCGTAGTGATAGTGAACGGCTGTATTAGATACGCTACCTGTTGAGGATAGAACAGCTAAAAGTATGTAGCGTAAGAAATACGTAGGTGAAGATAATATGAATGGTATACACACCTCAGTCAGTCACTCGTAGTGATAGTGAACGGCTGAGGTGCATAGAGGGGTAAAACGATAGGTATATCCAACGAAAGTAAAGGGGTTGTAAAACTATATATAGAAGGTAAGTTCAAAGAAGAAATAGTACGGACGTATACGGGCTATGGTTGAATCCTCGACAGTACGAGTCCTGTACATATCACAAACCGGACGTACCATCTCCCATTCCAAGTCGATGTACGGACGCTTGTCGTTTCCCACGTGGTTCGTATGCCGACTGCATTGCTGTCTGCGGTGCATTGGCATGGACGTGGATATACTATCTTCTTGCGTCGTTGTCGTTGCATCCCGCTGCCGTTGAGTCTAGCAGGAAACGAGCGTTAGTACAAGTCCTGTATGAATCAAGCGGGAACCTACCCTCTCCGACTCCGACTCCGACTCCATTTGGAACGAACGCTTGTTGTTCGCCATTCAAGTTGAGCACACTGGACGTCGTCTTCAGTTGACTTCCAGAGTCGAGGATGAAGAAAGCATTACCTTGCCCAGTCGTCGTGCCTGTCCTGGAGTCTAGTAGGAAAGTAAATGTCAGTACAAGCACTGTAGAAATAGCAAACGAATGCGTACCGTATCCAAATCTTCCCTGCTGACCTTCGCTCGGAGTTGACGCAAGGATGCTTGCCGTGTCGTTAGGTTGGTGAGTCGTGCATACCAAAGGCCGTCGTAAGCCCAGTCGGGTCCGAGGAATCCTTTATCTGAGTGCGACGCGGTGGTGGTGGCAGTCGTATACGCCTTGTTTAGAGTCTAATTAGGAAACAAACCTTGGTCAAAGTACTGTAGAAATGAAGAACCGGGGGGGCACCATCTCGAATTTCCGCTGTCTTGAATCTATAGGTCCTAAGGTTGAGGTAGGTTGCCGGCTGATTCACGAATATACTAATCCCGATTAGTAAACGGCCAAGGCAACAGATCCTGTTCACATACCCGTTCACTGCGGCATGCTGCTCGCCTGCATCGTTGCCTAGTCATCTTGACAAAAGCTGAGATAGCCCATTAGTACGTACACTCTACAAGACTCAAACAGCCGTTACCTTCTGTACGAAGAGAAAAGAAACCTACTTCAAAAGCAAGTGAGTTCATGAACAGGAAAAGAAGGAGAACCAAACAAGCCCTTGCCTCGAGCGTCGAGCTCTGTGGTCGTAGTGCGAACAGACCTTGTGGTGTGACAAGGTCACGAATGAACCAACATGTTCGACCGGTCCAACACCGGCATCACTCTTGATGGCGTAGGGCATAGCACGAGAGGGATAAATCTACGAGGCGAGAAAATATGCGGAGGAGAGGAGGGACGGAAGAGGAATGGGGAGATGGGAATCGAAGCCCATCCCTCCCCTCCTTTTATACTCGAGATGTCTGGCGGAGATCAAAGTCAACAGCAGAATACGATAAACAGCAAAGATCATAGACTTACCATTTCGCGTCCAGATTCCGAAGTATCCAAGCTCGCATCCGCACTATTGGCATATCATTGAAACAATTCACTCAGCGCCGCATTTGTTTTCCAGGGCTGGAGGCGTGGCAACGTGAGGACTGATTCACAGCAGTCTTCTCGTGCTCTTCGCCGTTGCCCGTCTCCTGAGAAATGGCACCAGTCAGAATTCGGAGCTTATGCGCGAGAAGAAGAACGAAATGATGTAGGCGAACCTCGGACTCGGAGCTTTCGAAACATCTTTCATAGTGATAATCTTCGCTTATTGCGTGAATACCGTCGTCTGCAATGCGAGGAAGAGAGCGAGAACAGTTGTGTACTCTGTAGATAGTATGTACACTGAAATACATGATAAGCCAAGTTTCTGTGCAGACCAAAACGGGACGAGAGGAAACGGCACTCAGAAGTAGAATTCACGGTGTGCTCAGGGTCGTACTTCGCAGACCTGAAAAGGAAATCGATCGCTCTATAGTTGAAAATGAGCTAGGAGATGCACTGGGATGATGGAATCAGCGGCAGATAACGCGGAGAACTGTTAAACGCGTACGACGTTCCAGATTCTCGTGGCGTAGTCTGCACTTGAAACCTTCCAAAAGACAAGTGATTTGTGCAGACGTCATTGCGTTGATATTTGGGAACCACGTCTTCGAAGCGGAGACGTCGAGGCAAGTCGCATTCCAGACGTTACAAGATTTTCGGGAAGTTTTTGATTCCGTGTCTCTGGATGCGGACTATATCAAAAATTGAGAAACACGAAATATCAGAGATGGTTGACTGACATCGGTTGCGTTGTCCGGTTTCTTCCAAGTTTCGGGATAGCTCAAAGGCACCGTCACTTGTAGTGATGGACTACTTTCCGTGGCATCGGATGGAAATCCTGTCTTGCCACAGACTGCCGAATATACTGCCTCAGCATGATAAGCGTCGGGGGCACAAGCGAGGCGTGGTTACAGTACTGTATCACTTTATAACAGCTGAAATGTGTCAGAATCATTTCTAGAACTAGGGAAGCACAGGAAACAGCGGAGGCAAGTCAATACGACTTACCGTTCGAACGACGAATGGACGTCAAAGGCCAGGCACGTTCCAACACGAGGCGCAGTCCCCAAAAACGGATGACAGGTCAATCAGGGTCTGCGCTGCGACGTTATAGAGGTCTTGAAGAGCTTTCGAGAGGTTGGGGGTCGAGTAGGTCTTTGTCCAGCGGTAGCACGACGTGATATCAAATAAATGTAACTTGCTGTCAAATAAAAACAAAGTGAGCTTTTGAAACGGAGAAAATTGAGGGAACGACACTTGATAGCGGAATTTCGGGGATTGATACATTCATTTGCTCGAACACAAAGAGTGCGAAACGACGGAGACCTGTGAAAAAGCGAACATGTCAAATGAAAGGAATCCATTTGAAAGTTGGAAGAAATGCGATGATGCGGGGTGAGGATGGAACCTACAACACGAGGGGATAGTGGTAAGTAGAAGAAAAAGTTAAAGTCGTGCCATGGACATACCGGACCGGACCTCCCACGTGCCTCGCGTACTTTTCTCTTCACCTTCTACTCCCATCTTCCCTCGACTTCAACATCCCTAACAGTTTGTAAGTCTCACGAGAGCAATCGTCCCTATTTGTGGGGCCATTTTTGATCCGAGACGACGCATCGACGTCCGGCGAGCAAGGCTCTGAGGATTGTAAGTCATTATTTTCACCTCGGATTTATTGACTAAGTTTTATTTCAAAGTCGCATAGAGTTCTGACAAGACTCACGCCTTGCGGAGCGAACAGCACATTGGGTAAGTATTATTTTGCGTATCTGAATGACGTACTCAGTAGTTGGGTATAGATATGCTCTGAGACGATGTATCGCCTTCCGACAAGGAAGATCGCAAGTCTGCGTGAGTATTCTTTCGATTCGTTACCGTCTTGCAGTGAGAGGGTGTGTCGAAGACTGGAGAATGAGGCAGTAAGTCGAGATTCAGGTCATTTTGAGATCCAATTTACTCATTTTTGTCTTCCAAGTTGAGTGGAAATGTCTGGGATCGAGCGAATGTGCGCCGCCTCATACGTTCTGAGATTGATTTTGGGCTGAGACGACAAATCGACGTCCGGTGAGTAATTGTAAGTGTGCTCAGGAGGGTTCTAGGAACGAATTGACTGACTTTTTGACAAGAATACTCATGGCACGGGATTGCACGCGGAATCACCTCATAAAAGGACGGGGAAAGTGCACACACGCACATGCGGGGAGGGCCTAAAAATAGCCCCAGACTGTGCGGATACGCGGGGGTTGGACTAACACCGAGTAGGACGATCCCCGAGAGTCGGCTTTGTGCGGACTGGAGACGTCCGAAATATTGATGGTGGGGTCCTGCTTGTGTGAATAGCTGTCTTGGGCGAGTCCCAAGGCAGCAATTTTTTTTTTTCGACCCTGCAGTTGTTGGAATAGAGGGTGTAGTTATGCTAGGACAAGTAGATCACATAATCCCAGAAAGCGGATTTCGCTCTAACTCACCCACACGAGAGTTTTATCGGTGAATGCGCGGCGCAATTTTCACAGAATAGCCATGTTCGGCGCGCTCTCGAGGCCCTGACGTGCACAGTCAATCTCATCAATTACTCCAGAGGGCAATTTGACCATGACCCGAAATACACTATTAATGCTCGCACATATTGAACGGTGTACTGAACATATTCTCGTTATTCTCACTAACGAACGCTGTCCGCAACCGGAGCCTCAACTCCTCTTCTTCCTCCCTCGTCATGGGTTCCATAAAGTCCAAAATGAGATCCCAACTTTTGATGGGAGTCCCGCAATTTGTCAACGACGCCGATGAACACACCGCGCCACCCCTCTCACAGGATTCTTCTTGCCCTCTTGAAAGGAGCTGTGAGTACCGTCTGACGGATTATCCACTAATGAAGCTCACCTCTGCTTGGCCGACAGGTGCATGGGCAGCACTGCCCATTTACTCTCTTGCAGCAATGGCATAGTTCTATTCTGTCACCTAAAGAAAGATGTTATTCAAGTAAGGGCAGTAGTCATGCACTGTCATCAATGTGCGATAGCGACTGTGCTTACCTATCTTTTTCCCGCAGATATCGCATGTTTTCGGATTCTGGATCCTCGTAGTAGCGACGCCACGTTCTTCGGACGAGGCCATCATAAAAATCAGTTTAGTTTCGACTCTGAAAGACTTAGCAAGGTCGTGACTGGTGAGGGATGTGATTGAAGACCAGAGCTGCTAGACTCTTAAATACTATTAGCGGGCTCATAGTGGATGATGGTCTGGAGTTAATGCGAGCACGTTGCCCGGGCCATTTGGACAGCCCGGGTAGGTCGGGTTTGGCTGGGTATGTCGGGTCGAGGTCAGGTCACTACTCCGTGACCCGTCATCCACCCGGCACACCCGACTCACCCGACTCAGCGTAACAGCTGAATTTATGTCTGCTTGCTACTTCCGCTGTCAGTGTATTCCTTTTATCCTTCGGAAACTTTCTTTTTGGTACTATACAGGTGTACAGTTGTGTTAGCTAAGCCAGAAAAAAATCGTCAATCAAATCTGGGACACACACACACACCTTCCATTATCAATATGCCTCAAGCAGCCGAACCTGATCCCCCTCTCGTAAAGGGAAAACGTAGGCGTATTAAGACAGAGCGTCATCGTCTTGGGGTTCAGCAAGCTGCCGAAGAATCTACTTCTTCCGTCTCATCACTCCCTTCCTCCTTTAGGCGTGCGACGAAGAAGGCTAGGAACACGGTCAAGAAGGCTGGCTCGGGTGTCAAGAAGCTCACGCGACGCAAGAAAACAGCAACATCCGTGCAACCCGTGTAACCCGTTGCACGCCCGTGGCCCGTCGCACGGGTGATCTGGTTTGCTCGGGTACGGGACGGGTGCCAAAATTGCGACCCGAACCCGACACTACGCGGTTCCCACCTCCACCAACGAGCCTTGCATCAGCACATGTTTCTTGTTTGTAGAGCTGTAATGGATGCGTATGCACACCTTTCACTGTCTTCTTTTCCCATTATTTTATTTCACTTATGATTCTGAGCGGGTCAGACTCGTCTTTCGTGACTGAAAATCTATGACTCATAACCGCTGTCGAGACGTGTCTCTCAATACTTAAAAGAGTGCCACATCTTGCGAGGGCAAGTACGCATGTACCTTTGGCTGACTAGCCACGGGAACCGTGCGCAGATTATTCTCTCAAGTCCTGCATCGCCACTGTAGTGGGAAGGGTTTACAGGGACTGTTGGTCCTGCTCGGCGATGCGGCCAATACCTTTTTATATTCAGCTAATTCGACGTATGAACATCGATGACACAATGTAGATATTCGTGGATCTGTTGTGGTGAACATCGCCGAGGAACCCTTTTGTACCGGCTCTTCTTCATCGCTTTCCTCTGCGTCGTCGGTTGCCGCATTATTCTGAAACGCCCAATGTTAGGACGAGACTAGAGGCGGAGGAAAGGAAAGGACTACTCACAAGTAATGGCGGCAACCTTAGATACTCCGGGTCTTTAAAGTCGTACTCATTGCTGTCTTCCCATGATGTATCAAGGGGCTCGTCTCCTGATTCGGACACTTCGTCGGGATATTCCTCCTTGCCCCTTTCATCCTCCCAACTGTCTTCGAGGTCATAATAGTCCTCTGAATCGTCGTCACTGTTGTCGTCGTCGAAGCCATGAACCTGCTCCATGCGAACGCGAAACCCTGCTGCTGTACGACAGTGCTTGTCACACGGCACACAGTAGTGATGATTCGGTGCAGTGACACAGTGCTACGAAAGGAACACGTTAGTTTCTTCAACAAGCATCGAAAGACAACAACTTACACGACGAAGAATTTGGCCATTCAAAAATCGACGGCCACATCTCCATCGTTGGAGTTCATAATGTGCTCGGCTCGTTGCCGTTTATCGAAGAAGTACTCATCGCACAGGGCGCAGTACACTCCGTCCATGCATATCATATCGGTAGACATGATGATAGATGATAATAGTTGTTTGGTTCGATGGTGGTTGTTGTTGGTTGTTCAAAGTGTGTTACAGCGCTTCCGGAAAATAATGAGAATCGACAGAAATGACGTTGTCATGTTTGCTGTGTGAAACCACCTTGTAAATACTCTTTTGGGTATGTACATCATTGAACCATTAGCCCCTGAGCCGTCTAAGAAGAAGAGACGTCACCAAATGTGTCGAAGGGTTATGACCAAACTGAGTAAATATATCAGACTAATCGGTCGATGTAACTGATGACGCCATTTTCTGCCATTCCCATTATTTTCCGGAAGCGCTGTAATGTGGGGATCCAGGCAGAGGGAGGCCTCCGTTTTATACATTTTGTCGGTATGCACGTGTTTTGGCACGTCTTAGACACAGACTCCGGAGAAACCAGTCCCGGTTCATCGAATATGGCCCCTCGAGTTGAAAGGAGGCATTTTTGGTTCCACGGAAGTATCTTGTGCGATCGGTCAAAAGGGGCTATTGCTGGACATGGCAGTTTCGTAGGGCAATTAATCCTTGTCCGGCGGGAGTTATGAACAGCCACTGTTGTGTGATCATGTTTGAGGAATGATAACGAAGCGTAGAATGAGATTTTTCGCAACGACTCGATTGCTTCCGTCCATCCTTAGCAACGTAGGTCTCATTGATACATAGGTCGATCTGCCGGTGAAACATTGTTCCAAGACGACCGGTTTCTCCGCGGACGAGAATCTCTGTGAAAGATAGGTGAGCCTGCAGAGAGAAAATGAGCATGTAGGACAGACTTGGTGAGGATCGGATGTCAGACTAAAAGGAAAGTGAGCTTGCGCCCGGGGCAGTATCACAAAGACAGCAGCAGCAGGTATTCTATGTAATGCATGAGCAATCTAATTTTGTGAACACAACGAGACAGGAGGGCCTACCTTTGCGAGGTGACTCAATATTGTTCTGGCGTCCATAATTTCTCTCGGCAGCGTGACTTCTTCACAGGGATAGCATCTATGCGTAGCTTCAGAGTCTCGCGCAAGAATATCGCGATTGACGGTCAAATGACAACAATTTTGACTGAATCCAGGTTGACGCGTTCCTTCAGAAAGGGTAGAGCAAACCCTGCAGCCGACGGTGCAAAAAAACACACAATCTACCATGGCTCATTCGGTGTCTCGAGGACAATGTCTTTCAAATACTGCGCTGTCTGCTGTCCTGGAAGGTTCTTCACGGATATCGTCGTTGGGCATGGTAGAACTTAGCGTCGAGGCAGTAGCCTTCTCGACAACATAAAAAGAAAATGCTGTCGCTGAAGGTGAGATCAGGATATTAGGTAGGGGTATACGACGTACCGTCGTTCCCTGCATCGTTTGCCTTATCCAAAACTCCGAATGAGCGTACACTAGTCATGATAATTCCGTCGAAACCCCCCTACATGGTTCCCAACGAGAGCTCACTGGTGACATTGGTGAGCAGCATCTCGAGTACTAGGATCAGAGTGCGTGTTTTGTTACAATAAAAGCGGCTTCATGGTCCTGGCGACTGCCGGACGACGGTATCAGATTGCAAAGAAAGAGAATGTTGGTAGTGGACGTCATGGTGGTCGGCGGCAAAGAGCGGGACAGGGTAATGTGACCTTGATCATCGACCATCACGACGTCTACGGCTCGCTCTCGTTGTCGTCCAGGACGATTCCTCCCCCAAAGACGAAGACTACGTTCCATGGTACGTATTTAATTCGTGTTGACGAGATACTGCTCACCCTGCTGCAGTAGCGTCCAAATTCTCGAACGCCTGCGGCAGCCCTGCAGCAGCCAGGTACTAGATGTCGACGAACGGGTTCTCCTTGAATATCTTTGGCAGTTTTGGACGACATACCGTGAAGATTTCTGTTGCTCTAATCCGAGCTCGATGTCCTATGACTGGAATCAGCAACGTCAACTACGACAAAACGTCAGGAACTAAAAAGATGGCTGAGATAGGAAAAGAATATCTCATCGTTGGCAAGAATGACATTGTACGTCCACTACCATGTTTCTGTAGCACTTCACTCTTACTGCATTCAATAGAGAAACTGCTGAACACGACTATCACTATAGCTGGAGTCATCATTACCTCTACGAGTCATTAGAATGTCCATTTCATGCGGAATTCTTGATAGAGCGGCAACTACACATTGTTATATCGGAAGGTGATAACTAGGAATCAACACCGCTTAACTGCAAGGCATTAGGTTTTCCAGTCTTATAGTTTACAGTTTAAAGGGCGCTAGAGTCAGCTTCCCGTTTCAATAAACAACGAATACCATTTCTCTCTTATCCGACTACTTCCCTCTATCTGACATGAATGCAAGAACTAATTTCGTCCAGAAGCTACACATAAATACGACGCTCCTCCGGTTCGTGATACGGGTAGGCAACAATTGCAACATCGAAGCCCCCAGCTTTCATCTTATGCAGCCGCCTGAGATCATCATCAGTCCAATCACAGAACGTGTCCACACCATAATCTGAAAATGTCGAGGTGACCTGGAACTTCCTCAACGAGGACGCTCGCCTCGCCTCAATCATGTCCACCATCTCTTGATTAAAAAAGAAAACCCGGGACCACTCATACCAAAGAACTAGATCGAACGTGATGCTCTCTAGACGTGGGACGAGCTCAGGCGACTCTAATAGATGGCAGAAGAGACTCTGCACGCTGTCATCGTCACTAATATGCCAATCACGCGCCCTGACTCGGACGCTGAAAGAGGCTAGAGCAGGTGATAATCGGAAGATGGGAAGTAAACTTTCATTCAGATGGACGTCGGAAATGGACAGATGGGTAAGAGTGTGGCACTGTGAGTGGGAGAGAAGATCATGGAAATCTCCTAAGCAACCTGCAATGTCCTCGAGGGTTCGAAAGAGGTTGGCGTGCTTCAGTTGCGGAAGGGAGAGACTATGGAATAAGGTCTCCTCGCAGCCTGAGAAGTACGTGATAGCTGGTTTCGATATACGTGGCCAGGCGGCGTGCGCTCCAACACAATGATATGATGTATGAAATTCTGTCAATTTTGGGGAATGATGCAGTAGGCTGATGAAATACGTGTGTATCGCATCCGATGCATGCCAATGCCTCCTTTGGTCTTTAAAGGACTCGAGATTGGCATACGAGACGGGAACAAGTGTAGTAGGACCTAGACCAACCAGAGTCATATTCTTCAGTTTCGGCGTGTGTTCGAATGCATCAGTGAGATCAGGGCTTGGCCCTGGATGGTTATAGTCGCGCTGAATGTAGCACTCCTCCAATTGCACGAGTCGCCCACGAAGACAGGCGAGATGAGACGGTTCCTGATGACCGAGGGTATGATAGATCTTTGACCAGCGCTCTGCATGAGCAGCCACTTGTTCCCACATGGCCCACTGGAACGGTTCCTCTGCGCGGCAGGACATGAGGAATTCGATATCCAATACGTGTTGGCCCGATCGAGATAGCACCGTTCGAAGCATTGAGATAGGATCCCTCTTTCCCCTCAATTCGTCCAAGTCGCCATTAAAGTCAATGTCTATCTTTGACCACATCGCAGGACACATGGAAGTCGACACGGATCGCCATGACCTGCAGACCTGCGAAATGGTCCAGGAATGGTGCCGTATGTCGAAAATGCAACACGAAGTGTCCAGACTTGAAGCGCGTGAGAAAATTTCTATGAGAATCTCGGCGGGAACTTGGTGCTGGGCGGGCGCTGGCGCCGATGGACTTTCAGGAAGGGCAAGTTCGACGCGTGGGTGCTGGTACGACGACTGGGAAGGGTCATCGGGATTTGGAAATACGCATAGAGGATCGTGCTCAGCGCCGCCTTTGCATTGGAATTGACGCTTCTGAATGAGAAAATTAAGCTTAAGGCAAAAGCGAAGGAATACATCACTACTTACGTCCAAGGAGACATCATTAGCCATAAGGAATCGGGATGCAGGTAAGTGCCTGGAAATTCGCTTAGACTAGAGAGTACGATTGAGTATGACTAAAACAGAACGTATAAGGACGAAGACACCGTGAAAGAGTCACCGTTGTAGGTAGAACTAAGAAAAGGGAAAAATGCGGTGGGAATCTTCCTCGGTATTGCCGATATTAGCTTTTTTAACCAAGTTTGGTCTCCCTTCAATCTCCCTTGGTGCGCCATATCTTACCTTTTGACCATGGCGTCTGTGGCATATTCCTCAAAACTGCAGGTGCTGAATGTACCTGTGAGTAAGGTCTGTCCTTCGAACGTGCTGATGTTTACTGTGATTCAGCTTAACTATGGTATATATGAAGGAAGCCGAGCATAGTCAAGATTCCGTTCATCAGCCCAAAGGGGTCTGATTTTATGATTTCTTATCAGCTGATCGGTACAAGTATGTCGTGATGGCCCCTTTTTCCAGTTAACCTCTGACCTCAACTTGTAACGGAGGGACAGTCACATCTTTGCTACGATCATGGCCGGTACCAACAAGTCCACTCGCAAGGCTCCCAACCTTCACCCAACAGGAAGATGCAGACACCCTTTCCTCGAACGAGATGGCTGGGGAGACGAAGAGGGTGTTGATATTCCAGTCCCAGTATCATTCTTTCTACCTTACTCACATTCTTTTTCTAACACATTCGTAGTTCAATGAGCTGACGATGTGCGAGCTCTCTGCCACGATACGCGATAAACCCAACTGGTGGGAGAAATGCAAGGATCCAGCAATTCGTGCTAAGTGGAAGGAGGAAGCCGCAACCCAAGCGGGGAGTTACAAGTGTCGGCCGCTTCAGGAAGACGAGATAGACTATGTGCTCGATGAGCTTGAAGGATACGCTGCTGTTCGAGATTCAGATACTGGAATTGAGGTGAGTACATGTTTTCCCCCTTTCGTTTTACTGCTAATGAACTATGTGATAGCCATCTTGCTATCGTCGAATCTGGCAGTCAGACAGCCTAATCGAAAACACCCTTCGGGAATCCCTTATATCCTCTGTAGCACCCCTTGAGAATGTCCCCGACGCTGAAAAAGACTGGCATCCACGAGCAAACGAGCAAGTTTTGGACCTCGTCCATCCCTCCCTTTACTGTATCGTTTACAACCGTACCCTCATTCGGAACGCCGATGGATCAGCCGTTCCCCTTCGATGCGAACTCTCTGAGGATGACGACTCAGACTCTGATTACACCATCTCGAAGCATTTTTCCTGGCTTTCTACAGACTTTCTCATCTCGCCGGATGGTAAGAGCGCCAAGAGTTTAGGATATATTAATAACATCCATCCGAGAAATGATGCTGCGCTACACGCCATCATCGAGACACTCGTTGCGCGCTTCACCCCACTATGGTCACGCGTACTCGCCGAGTCTAAAGAAGATTACAAACTCCCATTACGGACTCTTACACACTACGATTGGGACCCTACAGAGTGGGATTATAATCGGGACCACCGTCTACCGGAGGACCCGACTGACGAGGATTACGAGGCGCACGATGAAGCTTGGAAAATGATACGTACAATGCAATACCCCCGTTTGTTGGAGCGTTACCATCCCGATGGTCTGGGCTTCCCAAAACCAATGGACCTCAATGGGAGAAAGCTCCAGGTCATCGTCAAGCTTGCGAACATCCTCTTGGTGCGTGTATTCCCTCTCGAATCTTCCTGCTTTGACGCGTCGCCCAGACACCAGAAAAACCTGTCTACGAAGGCGGATCCTGGCATGTCGAAGGCATGAAGAACGAATGTATCGTCTCCACGGGGATCTACTATTACGACCAAGAGAACATCTCGCAGAGCAAGCTTTCTTTCCGCGTGAGCGTCGCAGAGCCAGAGAGCTATGACCAGGATGACGAGGACGGGACTATGGCCGTCTGGGGCTTATCTCGGTAAGCACAGGCCATTGCACTGCTAAGTGAAGCCTCGAATTCCTCCCTTAACTCACAGGGACGAGCCGTTGAACGAAGTCATCGGAAGTGTATCCACCAAAACGGGCCGTTGCATCGCGTTTCCGAACATGTACCAGCACTGCGTGTCGCCGTTTTCCCTTCTGGATCCCTCAACGCCGGGGTATCGAAAGATCATCGCGCTCTTTCTGGTTGATCCCGAGCTGGAGGTCCCAAGGCCGTCTACGACAAACGTGCCGCCTCAGCGCCGCGATTGGTGGTCCCAAGAGCTGCTTGCGCTGGCGGAGGAAGGTGATAGTTTGTTGGGACGCCTGCCTACGGAGTTGTTGGACCTTATTTTGGACTTTATGGAACTTCATGACGAGGGAGGAAGCAGAGGAGTTGAGGCTCCGGTTGATGGATGAGCGGACGGCGTTCATTAGTGAGAATAATGAGAATATGTTCGATACTCCATTCAATATGTGCGAGCATTAGTGTATTTTATTAGTATTTATGTTCCTGAATGGGTTCTTGTAGTCTGTTATCGAGCGTACAAACATACATATGGCAAATCGAAAGATATAGAAGGCACCTAGAGGGTAGAAAAGGCATAAAGGCAGGAAAGAAGACAGATCGGTACCATAGAGATGAAAGGAAGTCGATCCGAATGCCTAACCAGTAACCAGAAACGCAAAAAGTCAATGTTAATCTCAGCGGACAAAGTCTTCCCACCCCAAGGATCCCTCACGAAGTCCAGTTATTCAGATATCGAGCACAGTCACTGTCCAGCCTACGGATTGTCACTGTCAAAAATCTCAATGCGTCGGTGGAGAGACGTACTCCGTGCATGCAGGTGGACCATCGGTAAAGTTTGTGGAACTCGTCAATAAGAGCGAAGAGGTGGGCGTCGGGTCGTCGTTTAGTAGGACATAGTCGACGGGCTTGCTATTATTGCTTTGATCATAGGAGGGGAAGCTCCATCGAGGCGGTATCTCTGCTTGTGGGTTGATAGTAAATGGCCATCCATTCGGAGGAAACGACGATTCGGGGACTGCAGCTGCGGTGGACGACGCTGGAGGGTCCGACGGTCCATCACAACTTGCCGAAGTCAGTTCATAGAGGATATCCCTAGTATCGGACACAGGCATTAGCGGTTGGAGATAGGAAGTACTTGTACCTGCTTACGACAGTAATCCTGCATAATGGTACCTAGTGCATTCCCCTTCAGGATCGATGATAAATGTCGAGAGTGTAAATACTCGTACCCGTTTTCCATATCTGCAAGAACTTCCATGCACTTTTGCACGTCGTCCATCTCCCTCCTGGATCCCAACATCCGGCCTGTTCGTTCCCCACATGTTGAATAGCAGGATGATCGCAGCGTTGAATGTCAATAGCTACATGCCAGTGGAGATGAGGCCGTAATTTTGCGCGAGGTTACACGTCACTCACCCCAGCGACAGGGAATATCATTCCGCTCCGACAGCTCTGGATATGAGCGACCCGGGAGTAAGAACGGGCCGCATTAGTGCATATGGCTAGAGATGGAAAGCGGGCCTTTGACGGATCATGTTCTGGCGCCGTGATGAAAGGTCTATGAATCAGCATCTGTACGTGGTAGTACGAAAGATGTAGTGCAGCGGATTGGTTGAAATGCATGAGGTTCTCTCGGGCCGGGTCCCATCGCACTGGATTGGATTGAATGGTGGTAGTAAGTTGGGGCGCTGAGGGGAAATTAAATACGTACGGTGTTCCGGGAGGGAGTCCATCCATTTATTGAGTCCCGAATCGAGCTCCACAACGATTTGTTGTTCCCAGTTTTCGTCTAGCAGTTTGAGTATGACTTTGGAGTGGCGGATGGAGTACTGGACAATAGTCAGGTTGGAGGAGGAGACGGAAAGGAAAGGAAGGTACATACGATTGTTCGTAAACAGATCACTAGCAAGCGGGTTAATCGCAGATGGTAATTGAAGTATGATACTGCGGAGGGTTGTCCTGCTGGTTGCGTGAACATCTGCTGAGGGTCCGAATGTTCCCAGTATTCGTCATCGCACTCAGTCGGCAAGTCGACATCAATACTGAAAGGTGTGTCAGATGACGGGAAGAGGGAAAGGACGCAAGAGATAATACTCTTCATCATAGATCATACACGGGCGACCTAGTGCTGAACTGAGTAATCTGTCCATACTCACTAGGCACCTAAAAAGACCATCAGGTACAATCGATTAAGCACCAGCATGCCTCTTACCAAAAAGCGCGTTTCCATAGCTCTCCTTCCGCAGTTTTTGTACGGTCGCCGGGCCGTTTCCTATGGGCACCTGCATCCTGTGCTATTCGGAGGCCTATGCCCACGGCTACCCAGGCTTGGTGTGGCACTGATGATCCTAACACGAAATAACCGAGGAGCTAGGATAGACTCAAACGGTGAGAATACCTAACCTAGCAGGAGAAGTCACTCACACAGCAAAGTTGCGTATCAAGCAGAGAAGGCGCATCCATCCCGGGATAGGCCCTGTTCATACCAATAACTTGATTCGCCCACTTCCAACCACTCGACAGCTTTGAGGTTTCGTCGGCTAATACTCGAGGATCGTCTGAGTATCTGGACGCCACCGCACATACGGCCAGTAGGACAGCAGCAAACGAGGCGTCTTTGAAGTGACGTCCATCTATTACCGATCTCTCCAAAGTTGGTCGGTGTAGCAGAGGGAAAAAGATGTTGACGCGCGTAAAGTACAGGTCAATCAGTGATGTCAATAAATCGTCCTCTGGGAAAGAGAACAAAGAGTATTGAGCGAGGTATCGTGATGGGTCATGCCAAGGGCGGATACACCAAAACTCTGGCCTCATCGATGTGAAACTCTGCACATCGTGTAAGGTACCGGGGCGCCATAGTTTGCAATCAAGAGCAGTCTGTATCAGATGGGCACTGCTGGACTTGCCATGGAACCTGTATCCTAGAACGTACCCTTGAAATCGCTCCAAATTGCTTTCTAGAGCCGCATCGATATCGCTCTCATCCGATGAGGAGGGAGCATCAGAGTCACTGACATCCCTGCTATAAGATTGCAGGAGTTCCGTTATGACGCTGGGACCAGGGTCCCCCTCCTCGAGTTCCTTGTCTAAGTCCGCTTCAGGTGGAAGTATCTGTTAGGCTATTACCCTTTCTCTTTTCCCATGAAGGGAATAAGTGTACTTACCCTGCGCAGAAGCTGTTCCATTGCTTCGGCCTTACTCTCCAACTGATTGATGTATCTAGGGCTGGGAGTTATACTCAATACCTCATAGTAGAGAAGCACAAGACGAACCGCATAGATGATGCACCCTGAAAGGAGCTGTGAGTACCGTCTGACTGATTATCCACTAACGAAGCTCACCTCTACTTGGCCGACATAGGTGCACTGCAAATTTCCTTTCTTGCAGCGAGTGCATGATTTACCAGGAAAAGAACTTGAAGACCTGTCACCTAAAGAAAGATGTTATTCAACTTCCTGCCAACTCGAGGACGCGGCATACATCGAACTTGAGAAGGGCAGTAGTCATGCACTGTTGTCAATGCGCGATAGCGACTGTGCTTACCTTTCTTTTTCCTGCAGATATCGCACGCTTTCAGATTCCGGATCCTCGTAGTAGCGATGCCGCCTTCTTCGGACCAATACGAGGCCATCATAAAAATCAGTTTAGTTTCGACTCTGAAAGACTTAGCAAGGTCGTGGCTGGTAGGGGGACGTGATTGAAGACGAGAATAAGGAACGACTCTAACGGCCGGGGGGCTACTAGACTCTTAAATACTATTAGTGGGATCATAGCGGATGATGGTCTGGAGTTAACGCGAGCACGTGCTCGGGCCATTTGGAGTTCAAGCTGACACGAACCTCTGTACGTGCGCTTGATCACCTCCGCGCGCGGTTCCCACCTCCACCAACGAGCCTCGTATCAGCACATGTTCCTTGTTTGTAGATGACTGTAATATACACGTATGCACACCCCTCACTGTCTTCTTTTCTCCTTATTTCCCTTGTGATTCTGACCACCACATCCACTCGTGTACATGGTGAACAGCAACACGGCGCAGCCCAGAGACGTCCACAAACCGCTACGCCGCCCTCTACAAGCATCCGCGACACTCCCCAAAGAGACCCTCCATCTCCCCAACGGCATGTTCTTGATCGATGATGCAACACCCTCGGCGCCTCCATCCACATCCACACTCCCTTCAACACACTGCCTGGCCATCCTCCCATCCCACCAACAATCGATTCGCGCCTACACAATGCACTCCGTCACCCCCAGACGCATCCTTCACCGGTGGGATCATCCACGTCTCCACCCCTCGGTCACTCCCTCTCTCCCCGGGTCGATGAACGGATCGACGTCACTCGCTGCTTCAGTTTGTGGGCGCGTTCAAGGACGAGGAAAGCATTACCCTGTTGCGATGCAGTAATCAGTACGAGTCCTGTACATATCACAAACCGGACGTACCATCTCCCATTCCAAGTCGATGCACGGACGCTTGTCGTTTCCCGCGTGGTTCGTATGCCGACTGCATTGCTGTCTGCGGTGCATTGGCATGGACGTGGATATACTATCCTCTTGCGTCGTTGTCGTTGCATCCCGCTGCCGTTGAGTCTAGCAGGAAACGAGCGTTGGTACAAGTCCTGTATGAATCAAGCGGGAACCTACCCTCGAAAGTAAATGTCAGTACAAGCACTGTAGAAATAGCAAACGAATGCGTACCGTATCCAAATCTTCCCTGCTGACCTTCGCTCGGAGTTGACGCAAGGATGCTTGCCGTGTCGTTAGGTTGGTGAGTCGTGCATACCAAAGGCCGTCGTAAGCCCAGTCGGGCCCGAGGAATCCTTTATCTGAGTGCGACGCGGTGGTGGTGGCAGTCGTATACGCCTTGTTTAGAGTCTAATCAGGAAACAAACCTTGGGTAAAGTACTGTAGAAATGAAGAACTGGGGGGGGCACCATCTCGAATTTCCGCTGTCTTGAATCTATAGGTCCTAAGGTTGAGGTAGGTTGCCGGCTGATTCGCGAATATACTAATCCCGGTTAGTAAACGGTCAAGGCAACAGATCCTGTTCACATACCCGTTCACTGCGGCATGCTGCTCGCCTGCATCGTTGCCTAGTCATCTTGACAAAAGCTGAGATAGCCCATTAGTACGTACACTCTACAAGACTCAAACAGCCGTTACCTTCTGTACGAAGAGAAAAGAAACCTACTTCAAAAGCAAGTGAGTTCATGAACAAGAAAAGAAGGAGAACCAAACAAGCCCTTGCCTCGAGCGTCGAGCTCTGTGGTCGTAGTGCGAACAGACCTTGTGGTGTGACAAGGTCACGAATGAACCAACACGTTCGACCGGTCCAACACCGGCATCACTCTTGATGGCGTAGGGCATAGCACGAGAGGGATAAATCTACGAGGCGAGAAAATATGCGGAGGAGAGGAGGGACGGAAGAGGAATGGGGAGATGGGAATCGAAGCCCATCCCTCCCCTCCTTTTATACTCGAGATGTCTGGCGGAGATCAAAGTCAACAGCAGAATACGATAAACAGCAAAGATCATAGACTTACCATTTCGCGTCCAGATTCCGAAGTATCCAAGCTCGCATCCGCACTATTGGCATATCATTGAAACAATTCACTCAGCGCCGCATTTGTTTTCCAGGGCTGGAGGCGTGGCAACGTGAGGACTGATTCACAGCAGTCTTCTCGTGCTCTTCGCCGTTGCCCGTCTCCTGAGAAATGGCACCAGTGTGCTCAGGGTCGTACTTCGCAGACCTGAAAAGGAAACCGATCACTCGATAGTTGAAAATGAGCTAGGAGATGCACTGGGATGATGGAATCAGCGGCAGATAACGCGGAGAACTGTTAAACGCGTACGATGTTCCAGATTCTCGTGGCGTAGTCTGCACTTGAAACCTTCCAAAAGACAAGTGATTTGTGCAGACGTCATTGCGTTGATATTTGGGAACCACGTCTTCAAAGCGGAGACGTCGAGGCAAGTCGAATTCCAGACGTTAAAAGATTTTCGGGAAGTTTTTGATTCCGTGTTGATTTCGTGTCTCTGGATGCGGACTATATCAAAAATTGAGAAACACGAAATATCAGAGATGGTTGACTGACATCGGTTGCGTTGTCCGGTTTCTTCCAAGTTTCGGGATAGCTCAACGGCACCGTCACTTGTAGTGATGGACTACTTTCCGTGGCATCGGATGGAAATCCTGTCTTGCCACAGACTGCCGAATATACTGCCTCAGCATGATAAGCGTCGGGGGCACAAGCGAGGCGTGGTTACAGTACTGTATCACTTTATAACAGCTGAAATATGTCAGAATCATTTCTAGAACTAGGGAAGCACAGGAAACAGCGGAGGCAAGTCAATACGACTTACCGTTCGAACGACGAATGGACGTCAAAGGCCAGGCACGTTCCAACACGAGGCGCAGTCCCCAAAAACGGATGACAGGTCAATCAGGGTCTGCGTTGCGACGTTATAGAGGTCTTGAAGAGCTTTCGAGAGGTTGGGGGTCGAGTAGGTCTTTGTCCAGCGGTAGCACGACGTGATATCAAATAAATGTAACTTGCTGTCAAATAAAAACAAAGTGAGCTTTTGAAACGGAGAAAATTGAGGGAACGACACTTGATAGCGGAATTTCGGGGATTGATACATTCATTTGCTCGAACACAAAGAGTGCGAAACGACGGAGACCTGTGAAAAAGCGAACATGTCAAATGAAAGGAATCCATTTGAAAGTTGGAAGAAATGCGATGATGCGGGGTGAGGATGGAACCTACAACACGAGGGGATAGTGGTAAGTAGAAGAAAAAGTTAAAGTCGTGCCATGGACATACCGGACCGGACCTCCCACGTGCCTCGCGTACTTTTCTCTTCACCTTCTACTCCCATCTTCCCTCGACTTCAACATCCCTAACAGTTTGTAAGTCTCACGAGAGCAATCGTCCCTATTTGTGGGGCCATTTTTGATCCGAGACGACGCATCGACGTCCGGCGAGCAAGGCTCTGAGGATTGTAAGTCATTATTTTCACCTCGGATTTATTGACTAAGTTTTATTTCAAAGTCGCATAGAGTTCTGACAAGACTCAAGCCTTGCGGAGCGAACAGCACATTGGGTAAGTATTATTTTGCGTATCTGAATGACGTACTCAGTAGTTGGATATAGATATGCTCTGAGACGATGTATCGCCTTCCGACAAGGAAGATCGCAAGTCTGCGTGAGTATTCTTTCGATTCGTTACCGTCTTGCAGTGAGAGGGTGTGTCGAAGACTGGAGAATGAGGCAGTAAGTCGAGATTCAGGTCATTTTGAGATCCAATTTACTCATTTTTGTCTTCCAAGTTGAGTGGAAATGTCTGGGATCGAGCGAATGTGCGCCGCCTCATACGTTCTGAGATTGATTTTGGGCTGAGACGACAAATCGACGTCCGGTGAGTAATTGTAAGTGTGCTCAGGAGGGTTCTAGGAACGAATTGACTGACTTTTTGACAAGAATACTCATGGCACGGGATTGCACGCGGAATCACCTCATAAAAGGACGGGGAAAGTGCACACACGCACATGCGGGGAGGGCCTAAAAATAGCCCCAGACTGTGCGGATACGCGGGGGTTGGACTAACACCGAGTAGGACGATCCCCGAGAGTCGGCTTTGTGCGGACTGGAGACATCCGAAATATTGATGGTGGGGTCCTGGTTGTGTGAATAGCTGTCTTGGGCGAGTCCCAAGGCAGCAATTTTTTTTTTTCGACTCTGCAGTTGTTGGAATAGAGGGTGTAGTTATGCTAGGACAAGTAGATCACATAATCCCAGAAAGCGGATTTCGCTCTAACTCACCCACACGAGAGTTTTATCGGTGAATGCGCGGCGCAATTTTCACAGAATAGCCATGTTCGGCGCGCTCTCGAGGCCCTGACGTGCACAGTCAATCCCATCAATTACTCCAGAGGGCAATTTGACCATGACCCGAAATACACTATTAATGCTCGCACATATTGAACGGTGTACTGAACATATTCTCGTTATTCTCACTAACGAACGCTGTCCGCAACCGGAGCCTCAACTCCTCTTCTTCCTCCCTCGTCATGGGTTCCATAAAGTCCAAAATGAGATCCCAACTTTTGATGGGAGTCCCGCAATTTGTCAACGACGCCGATGAACACACCGCGCCACCCCTCTCACAGGATTCTTCTTGCCCTCTTGAAAGGAGCTGTGAGTACCGTCTGACAGATTATCCACTAATGAAGCTCACCTCTGCTTGGCCGACAGGTGCATGGGCAGCACTGCCCATTTACTCTCTTGCAGCAATGGCATAGTTCTATTCTGTCACCTAAAGAAAGATGTTATTCAAGTAAGGGCAGTAGTCATGCACTGTCATCAATGTGCGATAGCGACTGTGCTTACCTATCTTTTTCCCGCAGATATCGCATGTTTTCGGATTCTGGATCCTCGTAGTAGCGACGCCACGTTCTTCGGACGAGGCCATCATAAAAATCAGTTTAGTTTCGACTCTGAAAGACTTAGCAAGGTCGTGACTGGTGAGGGATGTGATTGAAGACCAGAGCTGCTAGACTCTTAAATACTATTAGCGGGCTCATAGTGGATGATGGTCTGGAGTTAACGCGAGCACGTTGCCCGGGCCATTTGGACAGCCCGGGTAGGTCGGGTTTGGCTGGGTATGTCGGGTCGAGGTCAGGTCACTACTCCGTGACCCGTCACCCACCCGGCACACCCGACTCACCCGACTCAACGTAACAGCTGAATTTATGTCTGCTTGCTACTTCCGCTGTCAGTGTATTCCTTTTATCCTTCGGAAACTTTCTTTTTTGGTATTGTACAGCTGTACAGTTGTGTTAGCTAAGCCAGAAAAAAATCGTCAGTCAAATCTGGGACACACACACACACACACACCTTCCATTATCAATATGCCTCAAGCAGCCGAACCTGATCCCCCTCTCGTAAAGGGCAAACATAGGCATATTGAGACAGAGCGTCATCGTCTTGGGGTTCAGCAAGCTGCCGAAGAACCTACTTCTTCCGTCTCATCACTCCCTTCCTCCATTAGGCGTGCGACGAAGAAGGCTAGGAACACGGTCAAGAAGGCTGGCTCGGCTGTCAAGAAGCTCACGCGACGCAAGAAAACAGCAACATCCGTGCAACCCGTGTAACCCGTTGCACGCCCGTGGCCCGTTGCACGGGTGATCCGGTTTGCTCGGGTACGGGACGGGTGCCAAAATTGTGACCCGAACTCGACCCGGACTGTTCACTAGGTTCCCACCTCCACCAATGAGCCCCGTATCAGCACATGTTTCTTGTTTGTAGAGCCTGTAATGGACGCGTATGCACACCTTTCACTGTCTTCTTTTCCCATTATTTTATTTCACTTGTGATTCTGAGCGGGTCAGACCCGTCTTTCGTGACTGAAAATCTATGACTCATAACCGCTGTCGAGACGTGTCTCTCAATACTTAAAAGAGTGCCACATCTTGCGAGGGCAAGTACGCATGTACCTTTGGCTGACTAGCCACGGGAACCGTGCGCAGATTATTCTCTCAAGTCCTGCATCGCCACTGTAGTGGGAAGGGTTTACAGGGACTGTTGGTCCTGCTCGGCGATGCGGCCAATACCTTTTTATATTCAGCTAATTCGACGTATGAACATCGATGACACAATGTAGATATTCGTGGATTTGTTGGGGTGAACATCGCCGAGGAACCCTTTTGTACCGGCTCTTCTTCATCGCTTTCCTCTGCGTCGTCGGTTGCCGCATTATTCTGAAACGCCCAATGTTAGGACGAGGCTAGAGGCGGAGGAAAGGAAAGGACTACTCACAAGTAATGGCGGCAACCTTAGATACTCCGGGTCTTCAAAGTCGTACTCATTGCTGTCTTCCCATGATGTATCAAGGGGCTCGTCTCCTGATTCGGACACTTCGTCGGGATATTCCTCCTTGCCCCTTTCATCCTCCCAACTGTCTTCGAGGTCATAATAGTCCTCTGAATCGTCGTCACTGTTGTCGTCGTCGAAGCCATGAACCTGCTCCATGCGAACGCGAAACCCTGCTGCTGTACGACAGTGCTTGTCACACGGCACACAGTAGTGATGATTCGGTGCAGTGACACAGTGCTACGAAAGGAACACGTTAGTTTGGTCGACAAGCGCGGAGATGTAACAACTTACACGACGAAGAATTTGGCCATTCAAAAATTGACGGCCACATCTCCAACATTCGGGATGGTCGTTGGAGTTCATAATGTGCTCCGCTCGTTGCCGTTTATCGAAGAAGTACTCGTCGCACAGGGCGCAGTACACTCCGTCCATGCATATCATATCAGTAGACATGACGATAGATGATAATAGTTGTTTGGTTCGATGGTGGTTGTTGTTGGTTGTTCAAAGTGTGTTAATGTGGGGATCCAGGTAGAGGGAGGCCTCCGTTTTATACATTTTGTCGGTAGGCGCGTGTTTTGGCACGTCTTAGACATAGCGTCCGGAGAAACCAGTTCCGGTTCTTCGAATATGGCCCCTCGAGTTAAAAGGAGGCATTTTTTGGTTCCACGGAATTATCGTCTGCGATCGGTCAAAAGGGGCTATTGCTATCGGACACAGTTTCATAGGGCGGTGAATCCTTGTCCGGCGGGAGCTATGAGCAAGCACTGCGGTGTGATTACTTATGCTCGAGGAATGATGACGACGTGTAGAATGAGATTCTCCGTAGCGACTCGATTGCTTCTGTGCCTCCATACCAACGCAGGTCTCACTGATACGTCGAAGAGGAGGTCGATCCGGCGAAACAATGTTCCAAAACCACCGGTTTCTCCGCGGTCGAGAATCTCTGTCAACAGATGGGTGAGCGTGCAGTGAGAAAATGAAGTGCACGGTACGAACTTGTTGAGGATCTGATGTTAGCCTAAAAGGAAAGCGAGCGAGCGCTTCAAGGGGGCAGTATCTGAAGCCACAAAGACAGCAGCAGCAGGTATTCTATGTAATGCATGAGCAATCCATCTTTACGAACAAACTGAGGCAGGAAGGCCTACCTTGCGAGGTGACTCAGTATCGCTCTTGCGTCCATAATTTCCCTCAGCAGCGCGACAACTTCGCAGCGACAGCATCCATGCATAACTTCAGGGTCTCGTGCAAGAATGTCGTGATTGTCGGTCCAATGGCAGCAGTTTTGACTGGATCCAGGTCGAAGCCTTCCTTCAGAAATGGTAGAACAAATCCTGCAGCCTCATTCGGCGTCTCGAGGACAATGTCTTTCGAATACCGCGCTGTCTGCTGTCCTGGAAGGCTCTTCACGGATGTCATCGTTGGGCATGGTGGAACTTAGCGTCGAGGCAGTAGCCTTCTCGACAACATAGGAGGAAAATGCTGTCGCTGAGGGTGAGATCAGGATATTAGGTAGGGGTATACGACGTACCGTCGTTCCCTGCACCGTTTGCCTTATCCAAAACTCTGAATGAGCATACACTGGTCATGATAATTCCGTCGAAATCCCCCTACATGGTTCCCAACGAGAGCTCACTGGTGACATTGGTGAGCAGCATCTCGAGTACTAGGATCAGAGTGCGTGTTTTGTTACAATAAAAGCGGCTTCATGATGGTCCTGGCGACTGCCGGACGACGGTATCAGATTGCAAAGAAAGAGAATGTTGGTAGTGGACGTCATGGTGGTCGGCGGCAAAGAGCGGGACAGGGTAATGTGACCTTGATCATCGACCATCACGACGTCGACGGCTCGCTCTCGTTGTCGTCCAGGACGATTCCTCCCCCAAAGACGAAGACTACGTTCCATGGTACGTATTTAATTCGTGTTGACGAGATACTGCTCACCCTGCTGCAGTAGCGTCCAATTCTCGAACGCCTGCGGCAGCCCTGCAGCAGCCAGGTGCTAGATATCGACGAACGGGTTCTCCTTGAATATCTTTGGCAGTTTTGGACGACATACCGTGAAGATTTCTGTTGCTCTAATCCGAGCTCGATGTCCTATGACTGGAATCAGTAACGTCAACTACGACAAAACGTCAGGAACTAAAAAGATGGCCGAGATAGGAAAAGAATATCTCATCGTTGGCAAGAATGATATTGTACGTCCACTACCATGTTTCTGTAGCACTTCACTCTTACTGCATTCAATAGAGAAACTGCTGAACACGACTATCACTATAGCTGGAGTCATCATTACCTCTACGAGTCATTAGAATGTCCATTTCATGCGGAATTCTTGATAGAGCGGCAACTACACATTGTTATATCGGAAGGTGATAACTAGGAATCAACACCGCTTAACTGCAAGGCATTAGGTTTTCCAGTCTTACAGTTTACAGTTTAAAGGGCGCTAGAGTCAGCTTCCCGTTTCAATAAACAACGAATACCATTTCTCTCTTATCCGACTACTAGCCTCTATCTGACATGAATGCAAGAATCAATTTCGTCCAGAAGCTACACATAAATACGACGCTCCTCCGGTTCGTGATACGGGTAGGCAACAATTGCAACATCGAAGCCCCCAGCTTTCATCTTATGCAACCGCCTGAGATCATCATCAGTCCAATCACAGAACGTGTCCACACCATAATCTGAAAATGTCGAGGTGACCTGGAACTTCCTCAACGAGGATGCTCGCCGCGCCTCAATCATGTCCACCATCTCTTGATTAAAAAAGAAAACCCGGGACCACTCATACCAAAGAACTAGATCGAACGTGATGCTCTCTAGACGTGGGACGAGCTCAGGCGACTCTAATAGATGGCGGAAGAGACTCTGCACGCTGTCATCGTCGCTAATATGCCAATCGCGCGCCCTGACTCGGACGCTGAAAGAGGCTAGAGCAGGTAATAATCGGAAGATGGGAAGTAAACTTTCATTCAGATGGACGTCGGAAATGGACAAATGGGTAAGAGTGTGGCACTGTGAGTGGGAGAGAAGATCATGGAAATCTCCTAAGCAACCTGCAATGTCCTCGAGAGTTCGAAAGAGGTTGGCGTGCTTCAGTTGCGGAAGGGAGAGACTATGGAATAAGGTCTCCTCGCAGCCTGAGAAGTACGTGATAGCTGGTTTCGATATACGCGGCCAGGCGGCGCGCGCTCCAACACAATGATATGATGTATGAAATTCTGTTAATTTTGGGGAATGATGCAGTAGGCTGATGAAATACGTGTGTATCGCATCCGATGCATGCCAATGCCTCCTTTGGTCTTTAAAGGACTCGAGATTGGCATACGAGACGGGAACAAGTGTAGTAGGACCTAGACCAACCAGAGTCATCCGCTTCAGTTTCGGCGTGTGTTCGAATGCATCAATGAGATCAGGGCTTGGCCCTGGATGGTTATAGTCGCGCTGAATGTAGCACTCCTCCAATTGCACGAGTCGCCCACGAAGACAGGCGAGATGAGACGGTTCCTGATGACCGAGGGTATGATAGATCTTTGACCAGCGCTCTGCATGAGCAGCCACTTGTTCCCACATGGCCCACTGGAACGGTTCCTCCGCACGGTAGGACATGAGGAATTCGATATCCAATACGTGTTGGCCCGATCGAGATAGCACCGTTCGAAGCATTGAGATAGGATCCCTCTTTCCCCTCAATTCGTCCAAGTCGCCATTAAAGTCAATGTCTATCTTTGACCACATCGCAGGACACATGGAAGTCGACACGGATCGCCATGACCTGCAGACCTGCGAAATGGTCCAGGAATGGTGCCGTATGTCGAAAATGCAACACGAAGTGTCCAGACTTGAAGCGCGTGAGAAAATTTCTATGAGAATCTCGGCGGGAACTTGGTGCTGGGCGGGCGCTGGCGCCGATGGACTTTCAGGAAGGGCAAGTTCGACGCGTGGGTGCTGGTACGACGACTGGGAAGGGTCATCGGGATTTGGAAATACGCATAGAGGATCGTGCTCAGCGCCGCCTTTGCATTGGAATTGACGCTTCTGAATGAGAAAATTAAGCTTAAGGCAAAAGCGAAGGAATACATCACTACTTACGTCCAAGGAGACATCATTAGCCATAAGGAATCGGGATGCAGGTAAGTGCCTGGAAATTCGCTTAGACTAGAGAGTACGATTGAGTATGACTAAAACAGAACGTATAAGGACGAAGACACCGTGAAAGAGTCACCGTTGTAGGTAGAACTAAGAAAAGGGAAAAATGCGGTGGGAATCTTCCTCGGTAATTTGCCGATATTAGCTTTTTCTAACCAAGTTTGGTCTCCCTTCAATCTCCCTTGGTGCGCCATATCTTACCTTTTGACCATGGCGTCTGTGGCATATTCCTCAAAACTGCAGGTGCTGAATGTACCCTTGTGAGTAAGGTCTGTCCTTCGAACGTGCTGATGTTTACTGTGATTCAGCTTAACTATGGTCTATATATATGAAGGAAGCCGAGCATAGTCAAGATTCCGTTCATCAGCCCAAAGGGGTCTGATTTTATGATTTCTTATCAGCTGATCGGTACAAGTATGTCGTGATGGCCCCTTTTTCCAGTTAACCTCTGACCTCAACTTGTAACGGAGGGACAGTCACATCTTTGCTACGATCATGGCCGGTACCAACAAGTCCACTCGCAAGGCTCCCAACCTTCACCCAACAGGAAGATGCAGACACCCTTTCCTCGAACGAGATGGCTGGGGAGACGAAGAGGGTGTTGATATTCCAGTCCCAGTATCATTCTTTCTACCTTACTCACATTCTTTTTCTAACACATTCGTAGTTCAATGAGCTGACGATGTGCGAGCTCTCTGCCACGATACGCGATAAACCCAACTGGTGGGAGAAATGCAAGGATCCAGCAATTCGTGCTAAGTGGAAGGAGGAAGCCGCAACCCAAGCGGGGAGTTACCAGTGTCGGCCGCTTCAGGAAGACGAGATAGACTATGTGCTCGATGAGCTTGAAGGATACGCTGCTGTTCGAGATTCAGATACTGGAATTGAGGTGAGTACATGTTTTCCCCCTTTCGTTTTACTGCTAATGAACTATGTGATAGCCATCTTGCTATCGTCGAATCTGGCAGTCAGACAGCCTAATCGAAAACACCCTTCGGGAATCCCTTATATCCTCTGTAGCACCCCTTGAGAATGTCCCCGACGCTGAAAAAGACTGGCATCCACGAGCAAACGAGCAAGTTTTGGACCTCGTCCATCCCTCCCTTTACTGTATCGTTTACAACCGTACCCTCATTCGGAACGCCGATGGATCAGCTGTTCCCCTTCGATGCGAACTCTCTGAGGATGACGACTCAGACTCTGATTACACCATCTCGATGCATTTTTCCTGGCTTTCTACAGACTTTCTCATCTCGCCGGATGGTAAGAGCGCCAAGAGTTTAGGATATATTAATAACATCCATCCGAGAAATGATACTGCGCTACACGCCATCATCGAGACACTCGTCGCGCGCTTCACCCCACTATGGTCACGCGTACTCGCCGAGTCTAAAGAAGATTACAAACTCCCATTACGGACTCTTACACACTACGATTGGGACCCTACAGAGTGGGATTATAATCGGGACCACCGTCTACCGGAGGACCCGACTGACGAGGATTACGAGGCGCACGATGAAGCTTGGAAAGTGATACGTACAATGCAATACCCCCGTTTGTTGGAGCGTTACCATCCCGATGGTCTGGGCTTCCCAAAACCAATGGACCTCAATGGGAGAAAGCTCCAGGTCATCGTCAAGCTTGCGAACATCCTCTTGGTGCGTGTATTCCCTCTCGAATCTTCCTGCTTTGACGCGTCGCCCAGACACCAGAAAAACCTGTCTACGAAGGCGGATCCTGGCATGTCGAAGGCATGAAGAACGAATGTATCGTCTCCACGGGGATCTACTATTACGACCAAGAGAACATCTCGCAGAGCAAGCTTTCTTTCCGCGTGAGCGTCGCAGAGCCAGAGAGCTATGACCAGGATGACGAGGACGGGACTATGGCCGTCTGGGGCTTATCTCGGTAAGCACAGGCCATTGCACTGCTAAGTGAAGCCTCGAATTTCTTCCTTAACTCACAGGGACGAGCCGTTGAACCAAGTCATCGGAAGTGTATCCACCAAAAGCGGGCCGTTGCATCGCGTTTCCGAACATGTACCAGCACTGCGTGTCGCCATTTTCCCTTCTGGATCCCTCAAACCCGGGGTATCGAAAGATCGTTGCGCTCTTCCTGGTTGACCCCGAGCTTGAGGTCCCAAGGCCGTCTACGGCAACCGTGCCGCCTCAGCGCCGCGATTGGTGGTCCCAAGAGCTGCTTGCGCTGGCGGAGGAAGGGTGATAGTCTGTTGGGACGCCTGCCCACGGAGTTGTTGGATCTCATTTTGGACTTTATGGAACTCATGACGAGGGAGGAAGCAGAGGAGTTGAGGCTCCGGCTGATGGATGAGCGGACGGCGTTCATTAGTGAGAATAATGAGAATATGTTCGATACTCCGTTCAATATGTGCGAGCATTAGTGTATTTTATTAGTATTTATGTTCCTGAATGGGTTCTTGTAGTCTGTTATCGAGCGTACAACACACCTATGGCAAATCGAAAGATATAGAAGGCACCTCTACTCGAAAGCAGAGAGGGAAGAAAGCGCATAAGGGAAGAAAGAAGACAGGCAGGTACGAGAAAGATGAAAGGAAGTCGATCCGAATCCCTAACCGGTAACCCAGAAACGCAAAGGTCAATGATATCGTCAGTGGACAAGGTCTTCCCGCGCCGAGGTCCCTCGTGAATTCCAGTTGTTCAGATATCGAGCCCAATCACTGTCCAGCCTAAGGATTGTTACTGTTAGAAATTTCAATACAACGGCGGAGAGACATACTCCGTGCATGCATTGGGTGGTGTACCATCGTTGTTGAAGTTTGCGGAGCTCGTCCACAAGAGAGAAGAGGTGGGCGTCAGGTCGTCATTGAGTAGCTTGCCATGGTCATAGGAAGGAAAGCTCTGTTGGGAAGGTATGTCTGCTTGTGGGTTAATAATAAATGGCCATACTCCATTCGTCGACGATTCGGGGGCTGCAGCTGCGGTGGATGACACTGGAGGGTCTGATGGCCCATCACAATTTGCCGAAGTCAGTTCATAGAGAATATCCCTAGTATCGGACAATGGCATTAGCGGTTGGAGATAGGAGATGCTTGTACCTGCTTACGACAGTAATCCTGCATAATGGTACCTAGTGCATTCCCCTTCAGGATCGATGATAAATGTCGAGAGTGTAAATACTCGTACCCGTTTTCCATATCCGCAAGGACTTCCATGCACTTTAGCACGTCGTCCATCTCCCTCCTGGATCCGACATCAGGCCTATTTTTCCCCCACATGTTAAATAGCAGGACGATCGCAGCGTTGAATGTCAATAACTATATACCGGTAGAGATGAGACAGTGATATTGAGAAGAGTTCACACGCCACTTACCCCAGCTACAGGGAATATCATTCCGCTCCGACAGCTCTGGATATGAGCGACCCGGGAGTACGAACGGGCCGCATTAGTGCATATGGCTAGAGACGGAAAGCGGGCCTTTGACGGATCATGTTCTGGCACCGTGATAAAAGGCCTATGAATCAGCATCTGTACGTGGTAGTACGAAAGATGTAGTGCAGCAGATTGGTTGAAATGCATGAGGTTCTCTCGGGCCGGGTCCCATCGCACTGGATTGGATTGAATGGTGGTGGTGAATTGAGGCACTAAGGGGAAATTAAACACGTACGATGTTCCGGGAGGGAGTCCATCCATTTATTCAGTCCCGAATCGAGCTCCACGACGATCTGTTGTTCCCAGTTTTTGTCTAGCAGTTTGAGCATGACTTTGGAGTGGCGGATGGAGTACTGGACAATAGTCAGGTTGGAGGAGGAGACGGAAAGGAAAGGAAGATACGTACGATCGTTCGTAAACAGATCACTAGCAAGCGGGTTAATCGTAGATGGTAATTGAAATATGATACTGCGGAGGGTTGTCCTGCTGGTTGCGTGAACATCTGCTGAGGGTCCGAATGTTCCCAGTATTCGTCATCGCACTCAGTCGGCAGGGCAGCATCGATACTAGAAGGTGTGTCAAATAACGGGAAGAGGGAACGGATGCAAGAAATAATACTCTTCATCATAGATCATACATGGGCGACCTAGTGCTGAACTGAGTAATCTGTCCATACTCACTAGGCACCTAAAAAGACCATCAGGTACAATCGATTAATCACCAGCATGCCTCTTACCAAAAAGCGCGTTTCCATAGCTCTCCTTCCGCAGCTTTTGTACGGTCGCCGGGCCGTTTCCTATGGGCACCTGCATCCTGTGCTATTCGGAGGCCTATGCCCACGGTTACCCAGGCTTGGTGTGGCACTGATGATCCTAACACGAAATAACCGAGGAGCTAGGATAGACTCAAACGGTGAGAATATCCTAACCTAGCAGGAGAATGTCACTCACGCAGCAAAGTTGCGCATCAAGCAGAGAAGGCGCATTCATTCCGGGATAGGCCCTGTTCATACCAATAACTTGATTCGCCCACTTCCAACCACTCGACAGCTTTGAGGTTTCGTCAACTAATACTCGAGGATCGTCTGAGTATCTGGACGCCACCGCACATACGGCCAGTAGGACAGCAGCAAACGAGGCGTCTTTGAAGTGACGTCCCTCCATTACCGATCTCTCCAAAGTTGGTCGGTGTAGCAGAGGGAAAAAGATGTTGACGCGCGTAAAGTACAGGTCAATCAGTGATGTCAGTAAATCGTCCTCTGGGAAAGAGAACAAAGAGTATTGAGCGAGGTATCGTGATGGGTCATGCCAAGGGCGGATACACCAAAACTCTGGCCTCATCGATGTGAAACTCTGCACGTCGTGTAAGGTACCGGGGCGCCATAGTTTGCAATCAAGAGCAGTCTGTATCAGATGGGCACTGCTGGACTTGCCATGGAACCTGTATCCTAGAACGTATCCTTGAAATCGCTCCAAATTGCTTTCTAGAGCCGCATTGATATCGCTCTCATCCGATGAGGAGGGAGCATCAGAGTCACTGACATCCCTGCTATAAGATTGCAGGAGTTCCGTTATGACGCTGGGACCAGGGTCCCCCTCCTCGAGTTCCTTGTCTAAGTCCGCTTCAGGTGGAAGTATCTGTTAGGCTATTACCCTTTCTCTTTTCCCATGAAGGGAATAAGTGTACTTACCCTGCGCAGAAGCTGTTCCATTGCTTCGGCCTTACTCTCCAACTGATTGATGTATCTAGGGCTGGGAGTTATACTCAATACCTCATAGTAGAGAAGCACCAGACGAACCGCATAGATGATGCACCCTGAAAGGAGCTGTGAGCACCGTCTTACGGATTATTCACTAACGAAGCTCACCTCTACTTGGCCGACATAGGTGCACTGCAAATTTCCTTTCTTGCAGCGAGTGCATGGTTTACCGGGAAAAGAACCTGAAGACCTGTCACCTAAAGAAAGATGTTATTCAATTTCCTGCCAACTCGAGGACACGGCATACATCGAACTTGAGAAGGATAGTAGTCATGCACTGTCGTCAATGCACGATAGTGACTGTGCTTACCTTTCTTTTTCCTGCAGATATCGCACGCTTTCAGATTCCGGATCCTCGTAGTACCGACGCCGCGTTCTTCGGACCAATACGAGGCCATCGGAAAAATCAGTTTAGTTTCGACTCTGAAAGACTTAGCAAGGTCGTGACTGGTGGGGGGATGTGATTGAAGACCAGAATAAGGAACGACTCTAACGGCCGGGGGGCTGCTAGACTCTTAAATACCATTAGCGGGATCATAGCGGATGATGGTCTGGAGTTAACGCGAGCACGTGCCCGGGCCATTTAGAGTTGCTGACACGAACCTTTGTACGTGCGCTTGATTGGCGCTTAATCACCTCCGCGGTTCCCACCTCTACTAACGAGCCCCGTATCAGCACATGTTTCTTGTTTGTAGAGCTGTAATGGACGCGTATGCACACCTTTCACTGTCTTGACTCTTCTTTTCCCAGTATTTTATATCCATTGTAATTCTGAGCGGGTCCGACTCGTCTTTCATGACTGAAAATCTATGACTCATAACCGCTATCGAGACGTAGTCTCTCAATACTTAAAAGAGTGCCACATCTTGCGAGGGCAAGTACGCGTGTACCTTTGGCTGACTAGCCACGAGAACCGCGCGTAGATTATTCTCTCAAGCCCTGCATCGGCAGCATCACCGCTGTAGTGGGAAAGGTTTACAGGGACTGTTGGTCCTGCTCGGCAACGTGGCCAATACCTTTCTATATTCAACTAATTCGACGTACGAACATCGATGACACAATGTGGATATTTGTGCGTCTGTTTGTGGTGAACATCGCAGTGGAACACTTTTTGTACCGGTTTTTGCGGGAGCCTAGCTTAAAGCACTTAGATATGCAGGGTTGACTCCGGGTATCCATGAGCATCGGCTTTGCCATGAACGCAGCTTTGGATTTTCTATGGCAATGGATCATAGAATTGTTACATTCGCTGCTATACAAACATGCTCAATAACACAGTAGGCGACAGAATATCCCTCACGTCATTACTTTGTTGAATTAAGATGATACAGGGGTTGGCGGGGTCAAGAGAATGACGGAAATCGAGGGGATATGTACATGCCTACACCAAGAAGAGATACATCAAGTCCCTCGGCTTTAAAAGCCTCCAACTGTTCGATGTTATCTGCACCCAAATTGCAAAACCTGGCAAATTCCGTAACCAGGTAAAACTTTCGTAACGAACGATGCCACCGAGCTGCAACCATATTCACCATTGCGCAATCGGCGAACTAAATATCCACTCCCCGACAGATTGGCAGATTCAAGTCAATCTCCTCAAGACGAGGTAGAAACGCTTCCGCATTCGTGAGTTGAACGACGAATTCTTGCATAACCACATCATACTGATCTTTCCAGGTATATTGGTGTAGCTTGAATGAGATAAGTGCGGGCGTCAATTGAAGGATGGAGAGAAGATGCTGATTGAGGAGGTTAATGGATATGGCTAGGCAACTAAGAGTGGAGCAACGCGATTCGACAAGCAGATCATGGAAATCAGCAAGGAAATCCGTTGGAGACCCGGGTTGCCCACGCTCGCTGTCATAGAAGTCCGTAGTCAAAGTTGCTTCCTTCAGAGCTGGTACCAAAAGACTGCGAAGGAAGGCAGTGTTATTGACCGCCAACTTGGACAGCAGAGGTTTTACGATACGGGGAGAAACAGTGTCATAAGACGAATACTCGCAGATGACGTCGAGCGCTACGAGGTTTGGTGAGTTCCGTATGATGTTGAAGAAATATTCAAGGGGTATCCCGTCGCCATCATTCCATTCTTCACCATCACATATCTCGACTCGGTACTTGAAGCTTTCAAGGTTTGGAGCAGTAAACGGAACAAATGTGTTTGGAGCCATGCCTTGCAAATCCATGTGCGTCAGTTCGGGGCTATGTTGGAAGGCATCGATCATAGATTCCCATCTCGGTCCCATTTCGTAGCAGTGAAGAACACACTCCTTGAGCGACGAAAGACGACTACGAAGACCGAGCAGCTCCGACATATCAAATTGACTAAGAGAAAGGTTGAGCTTCTTCCAGCGCTCTGCATAAGCGGTCAAAGCGGCCCAAACGTTTCCTTGAAGCTCGAGCACAGAATCATTTTGGTCGCAAGTAAAATCGAAGTCTATGGTGATGTCTAGTTTATGAGTTTGCGAACGAGACAGGACTGTGTTCAGCACTGATGAGAGAGCGCCATTTTTGAGCATCGCCGAGCTATAACTGACGCAGGAAACCAATATTCTTGCCCATACTTCAGGACAGAGGGTTGTGATGGTAGACCGTCACTGCTGGCAGACCTTGCTGATGGCCCACGCTGGATGTTTTGTATCGAAGATGTCGATGGGGTCGCTCGCAGCATGACAGAGGATATCGGCCAGAATTTCGAGGGGAAGGGTGCTGATGGGGGATAAAACTGCTTGGTGCTTGCGCTTGGTCTCATCCAATAGGCGGCGTTTTTCCGTAAGTTGGAAAAGGGCGTCACTCAAGTGGGAGATATCCGCATCAATGCAGGCAAGGTCATTGTCGACGTGGAGCTCTGATTCTTTCAGGATTGCTGCGTTCCTTTCTTCAAGAGGAATGTTGCTTGCTCGAAGCAGCGAGAGAACGTCCGGTTGTTTGTAGGATGCGGGGCCATCATATCGTGAAATTATTGTTTGCAGCATGAATGGGACATCGATGTTTTCATGCGTGATCTAAGTGGCAGATACAAACGAAACTAGGAAATCAAAAGTAACGTCGTTCACTGCTACTCACAGAGGAAATGCTGTTCATTGTGGTAAGAGATACTTGCAGACTGAATCAAGTTGGTTGTCCCTCTGGACTCGGAATAGTGCAGCTGTCTTGCCGCTGAGTGGATAGATTTTCTTTTTTCGACCTGGATTCTACAAAATAATATTATACTTCGACAGAAGAAGCAGAGTAAGTATAAGTCACCTTTGTTCGACCCTTGTTCTATGAAGTGTGCGATGTGCAAGAGAGCAAACTCAGCGCAGCGTGGGCATCGAACATTGCCGTTTTCAGTCATATTCCCACGCCACAGACGCGCTGAAAAAGTGAAACAGTTTAAGTTGCTATTGGTCGACTCTGCTAAATCTAAAGTAACCTCGCGTAAAAGAGAAGTAAAATAAATGACCATATAATTCATATCTGAATAATATCAGAAAGAAAATCAGGAACTGCTATCACAGGCTATTGGAATCGCGAGGCTCAGAACAGTGAAATGAGCGAGAGAGAAAAAGGGTGTATATATCTGTTGCAAACGAGATGGTGTATACTACGTGAGTATGGTCCTTTTATACGACAATTCTAACAAAGAGCCGCGGGTATAAGCAACGAATACGTACAACTACTAATGAGAGAATAACAAGACGTTAACAAGCGGCGACTGCAAAGACGAGCATCCCGACAGCTAATGATCAGCGCCGTCGCTTGGTGACAATGTGAGCTCGAATATCAAACACAGGCCTCCTAGGAATTAGTTTGGGAAAGACGCTCATGGAAAATAGCACTTTTACTTACTGTAGCCCTCCCCTCGCAATATAGTCTTCAACATGATATCTAGTGGTATAGAAGATGCCACTAGCTATCACACAATATATAGTTCAGTGGTTCGGTGGTCCTGCGGCCTGCTCAATGCTGTCTTTTGTGTCTGTGAACGCTGATAATGACGTTGGATTCTGCCGGCAAGTTGAATGCTTTACAGAGAGGATATACTCTGGACGACCTCTGGCCATGGAGGTAGAATGCCGAGATAAAATCGGGAAAAGTTTTGGGGTCAGCGTGAACCATCAATGCATCAATAACTAGACTCGATATCTGAACAAATGGACCACTTCAGAGCATTAGAACTCGGCTCTTATGATAACATAAATAAGAATAAAATATACTAATGCTCATATATATATTCAACGCGGCATCGATCATGTACCTAGTATTCTCACTAACGAAGGCCGTTCGCTCATCCATCGCTCTTCTGCTTCCTTCCTCATCATGAGGTCCGTAAAAATCCACAATCAGATCTCACAATTCGGCGGGGAGGAGCCCAATCGGCTATTACCTTCCTCCGCTAGCCCAAGCAGCTCTTGGAACCAGTCCCTACGCTGTGGCGGCACACCCGTCGTGGACGGCCTCGGACTGTCAAGCTCGGGGTCAACCAGGAAGACTGCGCCAAACTTGTTGCACCCTGATTTGAGAAATCCCGGAGGGAAAAAGGCGCTACGGTGGTGGTGCTGGTACATGTTCGGAAACGCGATGCAACGACCGGCATTGGTGGATACATCTCCAATAATTTGACTTGATAAGTGGTTAACCATAAGAAGGAAAGCGAGTGAGACAGCAGTGGCAGTGATATACCTGCTCATCTAGACCCCAGACCGCCATAGTCTCAGCACCATCATTCTGGAACCGGTCGCCTGTTCAAGTCCGTAAAGTTTAAACGCGTCGAGATGGTGTAATCGAGGTCTGTCTCATTGTCTTCAAAGATTTCGCATCGAAGAATTCCGAATGAAAGTACAGTCGTAAATGATACAAAACAAGGAGGGGATGGACCGAGGGACGACGTCGCGGTCGAAAGGTGGGCTCTTCTATTACGTTCCTGAACTAAATGTCCGGGCCGGGTACATAAATATTGATTTGTTAAATAAATAACTTATAGTAGTCTTATCAGTCTAATCGCACTCTTCCCTTTACCACCACCACTACTGAATTTCACACCCTTCTTCGCCTCTTACATACCTAGAGCTATCGTTATCAAGGTTCAATGCTCACTTCCCCATGCCAGACAAGGAGAACCAGATTGCCATAGGAGGACCTCGTATGTCAGCTATTCTTCCCGCTAGAATTTTACTGAAATTCCGAATTTTCACCGCAAAGCGTGTCCGCAGGATGATTTATTTGGGTACCTCCACGATGCTAAGATAGTGAATCTTAAATTCTAGTCACATAAGCACTCTGGGTCCTCGATGTTTTCGCTGGATACTGAAGCGACGTCCATCCTACTTTCACGGACAGGCTATACGGCAACAGTATCCAGGTCGACGCCGGAGATATGCTACGCGGAAGGATCGTTATCTATGTGGACCTGCAGCGCTCTCATCCATGCAGGCGGGGCAGCTTGGGGATTCATGATGAAGATGTGGGCTTGAACAATCTCCCATCGGTACGCGTATCTTAGATCTGTGACCGGTTTGAATTGAACCGCATATAGCCAGGTCCAGATAGCGTGTATCCGTACGGAATCATCACATCCATGGGTGTACATGGCGAACGGCAACAATGAACCCCAGTGGTCATGAGCAAAGCCATGAGCAAAGAAGTTGATGCAGCCTAGAGACGTCCACAAACTGGTATGCATATCTTTGATCTACGTGTCGTCTAGCCTGCCCTGATTAAACACGTACAGTTAGGGCATAAATTCGTGATATGATCTTCGTACAGAAGAACAGCAGAACAATGAGGGAGACATGCGCACCCGGGGACGTTATGAGTCTATTGCGATCAGTACGCCTTTGATTGTGGTCTTTTTCTAGAGCGTTTTCTCAGCTCTAAGTTTTCGCAGGTTAAACTTCGATTACTAACGGCTATCACACAAAACAACAAGCGATCTGAGACGGGGTCGCCGAGGTTCCCAGTCCCGGCAGCATCGTGGTGATATCCATTCGGTTCAGATAGGGCCCAGTGTTGGACGTGTTGGACTGTCACTCTGTTCATCGTGTCGGTCCTAAAATATTCTCACAATCATTGATCGGACACGATATGTCAATGCTCTGGACGTTTCGGGTTCCCAACAGGCTCTTACGATCGACCCTATGCCCAAGGTCCTTTCCCAAGACTCGCCCATTCGGATGCACAACCTGGCACGCCAGGTTTCTTTTCACGATGCTTGTTATTACCGTGAAGAATCATGCGAAACATGTACATGCCACCAGATAGAGTGATTGTCACAGGGAACATTGTAGTGAGTAGTTTCGTGACCACAGCACAACGTTTAATATCTATCCCTCATGGGTCAGAAGAATCTTGTCTTTAGGATGCCGCCCGCTACCGCCGGGCTTCCTGTTGAAGTGTAAGATGACCAGGATGGTAGAGCTAATACTATCTTCATATTCGCGTTCTTTGGTCAAGGTAACTCATATCTTTGCTTCTTTTTCCGGCTGTTGATTTTCTTGATTTTCTAACAGTGGCGTGGCTTTCATTTCAGCTTGATCGAAGGCAGTCGGAACTGGGTGCTAGCTTTCGCACGTAGCCTCAACGCCCGTGTCAACACCGCAGGCGGCGCAATATCAACTTACCGGTCTAGAGCAGTTCCTCGTGTAATAGACTCTTCTCCCGCAACTCAACATTGCTCCCCCGTTCTTTGTCACATCATCCTGTCATTATAGCTGTTCTTCCTACAGCACATAAGTGCAGTCAGTACATGGAATTGTCATGCGGCGCCTGCGAGGAGAAAACAAATCAGGATCCGTGTCGTGCCGGGCGAATAAGACGAAATCCTACTATCATTATCGAAGATGATTGTGAAGATGGTGAGTATAGCTTCTCTCTCAGACAAGCAATCGAACCTAATCTTAATATTTAGCCCACGTTCGTGTTCCTCCGAACTTCGACCGGGTACCCGGTATGATGCGAAGACCAGAGTCCTTGATTCTCCTTGCGGGAACCTTCAATGATCAAATATGACATGCGCCACTGTGACGACTGGAACAGCTGCGCCTCCTCCCTCCCAGAGGTAAATATTGATTTTACCTGATAATATTCTGCTGACATATCACACCGGACAGTTGTACACTACGAGCTACAGTAACTGGAATAATACACGGATGCATATAGCCATCATCGAGACGTGCACTGACGGCCAGCGTCATCACACGGCCCTAACACGCTTCAAATGCATCCTCCAAACTGTCGGATCCTCGTGAGACACCCCCCCTCCTCCCACACTCAACCCAAGGAACAACGTTGTGAATGCACTAATCTTATCGACATGTATCCCACAACTGCACTTCTGCCTGTAGTACCCGCCCAGAGTTTCCGGCGGCAGTAGCGCACGAAGGACACTCTGCGCGCGTACCAGCACATCCTCTACGGTGACAGCCGACCCCTGTTCCCTGTTCGTACTTCGATATTGAACGCACTCTTTTCTATCTCGACGAATACTAGGACCCTCGGTAGAGGAGGATGAGACGCGAATTCAGATGCTACAGAAGCGTGCGCCTGGACGCGCTTTGGCGAGAAAAAATCAATCGGCTCGCATGTCCCCACTCTCAGAGCCCGATGTATGGCCACTGACGCGGGGAGATGTGACCGGTTCTCCGGTGGCGTCCAGGGTGTTTCCGAGGAAAAATGAGGATATGGGTACGGGTTTGCAGCTGTGCTTGGTCGCTTTTGCGTACTTGTGGAGTAGAGATCTCGGAGGGAAGTGTATGGAGACGAGTGACGTAGACTTTTCGTTCCGGTGGAGGAAGATGACGACGATGCTGATGCAACTGGAGGCGCGGTGTTATGATGGGAACTAGTCGCCGGTGATACGTATGGCCATGGCGTGGTAGCGACATGGGTGGAGGATACTGGTACTGAGGGAGCATGATGAAGGCGAATAGATGCTTTCGGTCTTGGGGTTCCTGAAAATTAATGGCAATATCGGCATCAGGTCCCTGACTAGAACAATGCCGTACGGGCTTACCTGGTATCACATCACGTCGCGGAATGGGGCGGTGGTTGAAATGGAGGGGTGTGAATTTCGCCCTGGAGGGGTATTTGCTGGATTTCGTCGTTCCAGTGTACTCGCTTTCCTGACATGGTCTGAAGAGATTGGATGGAGAAGCGCTGAAAGTTGAACATACGCGTTTTATCTGCTGAAGCTGTACATCCGAATTCCGGTGTCGTTGCTATCTCGCCTCGCGGTTGCCTCGCGTCTCCCCCTTGCGGGGACAAAAATAGCTATCTAGACGCGGCGACTATAGATTCGCCGTAACGTCATCCCTCACTGACACTACTCAATCTCCACGCTCAATTGAAAGAACACATCGTGCGCAGCTACCTACGCGGTACTCTTCTGCTAGTCGAGTCCTCTTGCTGTTTGCTGGCTGACAAAATAAGCCGCGGTTCGCGCCCAGCTCGGTACAGGCTTAGCACCGTGAAGACAGCGTCAAATTGTGTCCTCAACTTCTTTCCCGCGAAGCTATATGTTCAAGGGAAAAGTGGAGGCAAGTCCCATCTAGTGGTGTATTTCGAAGGCCTATCAACGCGGCGACTGCCAATTGGACTACACACCCCACTTTGCGCCTTCTCGTGGGACTTGAACTCCAAGAATCCGTGTCGATCTTTCCTGATCCGAGGAGCAATCAGGCCCTGGATCCTTTACAATCCTGATTGTCGATGTTGTGATGCTGTTATTTGTTGGAACAACAGACCGGACACGTTGCAATGCCGGATGCCGACGTGAGGTTGGGGAGCTTCTGCTATTCTGAGGAATCTATAGGGTCAGCTGGTAGCTGCCTAAGATGCGATCGTTAGCTATTCCGACTGTTTCCGACTGAATACCGTTCGCGATCCACCAGCCATTTTTGCTACAAGACAGGTCAAATGACCCTCGGTAATGAACGCCACATCACAGGTTTAGGGTTCGCGATGCTACACGAGGAGGATAACGGGACTGTCCGTTAGAAGCCAACATGGTTTATCTTCCGAAGTCTTGTGAAGTGATGAGGTTGACGAGCACTGGAAATCGTGGCGCATCAATGACGTCATCCAAAATTCCCCTTCACCCTTTGTACTACCTGGTCGCGCTAAGAGCTGTCGTCGGGCTCTCTCTGCAGTATTGCTACCAAGTCGTGGAGCCTTGAGGACCGACCTATGTCCCCAGGTACAACGGAAGACAATGATGGGGTCGGACCTTGAACCAATTGTATTGGCTTATAGCCAAAAGCGCAAATAGCGCACGTTGGTCTCAGAGCGTCACATGCTTGCTACGACTTTTTTCTTTGAAGTTTGGGCACAGTAAGTCTTTTGACAATACTTATGAACATAATTTGAAGCGCTGACTCAGTCATATTCAAGTAAATTCGAGCATAAAGACACGTTTCTCATTTCGGCATAAAAATACACGTTAGCACCAGCGGCGTTAAGAAACGTAAATATTCCTAGTCCACTCGGTTGCGAGGAGAAGTTGACAATAATGAACCTGAAATTCTCAGCTGACGGATGGCGTATTACATTGTAAGCCAGTTTGAACATCGCCAAGGGATCTGCGAGCAAGGGTATATAAAGATTCGCAGCCGCCTCTTACTTTTCGGTCTCACCTCATTTCAAGATGCCTCTGCACTTCTCTCACAAGTTTGATACGCCTGTTTATAAGGGAACGACGTCTTTTTCAACAGAGCTGTTTATTAACGGACAGTTCGTTGATGGATCTGATGGCACTACGATTGAGCAAGTTCACAACAAGAAAAAATTCGCTTCATACTGATACTACGGTCTTTTCAGTGTGATTAATCCCTGTTCGTCGCCAAACTATGCCAATCCGTTTCCCTAATCCTTTTCTCAGCTGATGGAACCATCATTACCGGGGTCTCCGAAGCTACCCCTAAGGACGTTGATATAGCCGTGGACTGCGCACAGAAGGCTTTCGATACCACATGGGGTCTCAAGGCTTCGGGATCGTTTCGCGCTGACCTGATGCAGAAGCTTGCCAATGCTATGGTTGAGAATAGAGATGAGCTGTGCGCTTTGGAGGCTCTGGATAACGGCGAGTTTTTATCAGACCTTCTATTCGGACGATGATCTAAACTGCGCTTTTCAGGCAAGACCTATGCCTGGGCACAGCGTGCAGATCTGCCACTATCCATCGATGTCATGAAATATTATGCAGGATGAGCAGATAAGATTGAAGGTAAAGTCATCGAAGTGAGTCTTTAGCCCCTTTTATAGTATACAAAAGCCGACATATATTTTAGACGGATGAGGGTCGACTTACGTATACCAGGCATGAACCTATCGGAGTTGTTGTATGTCGATATCACTTTAGCATCCCAGGTGCTTACCCATCGTTGTCTTTACCCCCAGGGTCAGATCATTCCATGTAAGCAAAAATTTCCCATCGTGCCCCGGTGATACTGAACATGCCTCTCCCTCTCTTAAGGGAATTTCCCAAGTAAACAACTCCATACATAGCTCTTTGAATACGAACTTATCGTCCAAATCACCTAGTTCTCATGATGGTCATGAAACTTGGTCCTGGTCCGTACTTCCATACCTGATCATCGATGTGCCTTGTCGTGATGCACCTTCAAAGCGCTCGCCACTGGAAATTGTATTGTCATGAAGGTGAGTCATCATCGATCAACATATCCATACCGCAGTCTCGCTGACCCAAAACAGACATCGGAATTTACCCCGTTATCAGCGCTGCGAATCTGTACCCTCATTCAGGAAGTAGGCTTCCCTCCCGGGGTCGTCAATGTACTTACCGGTTATGGAGAGACCGTCGGCGAGGCGATATCAATGCACATGAGAATTGAAAAGGTCGCTTTCACGGGGAGTGTCCTCGTCGGTCATAAGATCATGGTAGCTGCAGGAAAGAGTAATCTTAAGAAAGTTACTCTGGAACTCGGTGGAAAGAGTCCAAATATTATTTTCAATGACGCAGATTTAGAACAAGCTGTCAACTGGTCGTTCCACGGCATTTAGTAAGTTACTAACTCCGTACTTGTTCTGATTTGTAGCACAAACGGCTCATCCCATTTTGTAGTTGGAATCATGGTCAGGCTTGTTGTGCTGGCTCTAGGATATTTGTGCAATCCGGGATCTACGGCGAGTTCCTCAAAAGGTTCACTGAGAAGAGCAAGGCGATCAAAGTTGGCGACCCTTTCGATGAAGACTCATTCCAGGGACCGATGGTTTCCAAGAGGCAATTCGATGTGAGTGCTCCGTTAACTTCGCGTCATCTTTCTTTGCTTTTTTTTTTCGGAAATCTCACGGGTATCTCCTAGCGTGTGATGAACTTCATCGATTTGGGAAAAAACCAAGGCGCTACGATCCATCTTGGCGGAGAACGTCACGGCGCTAAAGGGTACTTCATTCAGCCAACCATATTCACCGACACGACACCCGATATGGACATCGTACAAGAGGAAATATTCGGACCTATCAGCTGTATCATCAAGTTTGAAGACGAAGAGGGTAAGTTTTTGGTTCCTCTGGGTCTTCCTTTCGCCTCAATCTATGACATCGTTGACGTGGCGCTTATTAGATGTCGTCCGACAAGCCAATGATACATGTAAGCATCATAACGTCGGCATGCTGCGCCTCTAATTGACTTGGTACTTCTCACAGTCTACGGATTGGCCGCAGCGGTATTCACCAAAGACATCACTCGCGCTCTTGAGACTGCGCATAATCTGAAAGCTGGGACGGCCTGGGTTTGTCTCTCCTCTCTAGCTGCGATGACGAAAGCTGAAACGCACACTAGGTCAATTGTTACAATGTCGTCCATGCTAATGTGCCTTTCGGAGGATTCAAACAGTCCGGATTTGGGCGGGAATTTAGTGAATATGCGCTTCAAAAGTAAGCTCCTTGTGAAACGCTTTAATATTGTCAGTTAATCAAGGCAATTGTAGTTACACCAACGTCAAGTCTGTGAATATTAACCTGTGTCATAAGATGCACTGAGAGTCATTGCTGTGTACTCGCACGGCTGAGGGGCGTGTCTTGTGGAGCGGTTCCGTAAAGATAGGTACGAAGCCGCACACGGTACCAACACCAACACCAGCACCAACACTTCAATCAGTTGCAATAGAATATGGATCATAGCCTGTTGTAAATCATGATGAACGCCGGCTTTTCCTGCTCTGCTACAAGTCCTGATCGATGAACCTGAACGACCTCCAAAGGAAATTGTTGTGTTATCTGAATAAAGGTAATATCCAGGGTGCAAGGATTGCAAGGTTCAGCATATTTTTACGCCGTGTGCAGCTGCTTTCTTTTCTGATTGATCTGGAGTGACATGTCCATAATCGAGACCTCGGTACGGTAGTATTGAATGTGGCTCCGTGCTCGGTCTAATAATCCTAATAGACCAGTACTAGGGTGATAACATAAGATTGAGTCGGGAGAAATGGCCGATGCATACCTCCATGTAGGAACACCGACCCAACAATTCAACAGCATTTTAGTGCTGTTAGGCGCATTAGAGAGAAAGCCGACGAAAATGAGGGCGCTTTGCCCTGAAGGCGCACCCCGTCTGATCCGGATGACTCCAGGGCTATGCTTGCGGCCAGCTAGGATATATTTTGACGGTCTGGGGTATCATATAAATTAGCTGGCAGGACACAGTGACTGTCAAAATGACTCACGTACACTACATATTTAGAATGTTCTTGCGAAATCGGGATACAGGGGAGAGACCCCTATCTAGTTTAGAAGCACATATAAGTACACGCGATTTGAACCCATTTTAAGACATACACTGATACTAAGATCAGTCATTAACCAGGAAGGATAGCCCTAAGATCCACCCACTTGTCTACCGACCTGTCCATTCTTCCAGAGCTGATCATGAAGTCGAAATCCGTTCGCTTCGCAAACTCGTCTAACGAGCTGTACGCTTACGACTCCCACCAAGCGCCCTCATCAATAACAGCTCGTCCGACCCAGCGCTTCGCCTATCCTCCCACTCAACCGCAGCCATCGTGGCAGGCCCAACCTCATCCCAGTTACGCTGGTCATCATTCTCGTTCTCTCAGCAATACACCGTTTCACGGTAACAACTACACTGCACCTCTACATTCCTTCCACTTTCCCGGGGCTCGCTCCTTCTTCAGTCGTCATCGTCATATTCTACGTTTCCGCCAATTCCGATGCCTGTCTCCCCGATGAATGTTCCGCCGACACCTGACCAGCTGCGAAGAACCATTCCTCTGCCGGACGTCCATGAGGATAGCGTCGCTGATGGTGACACACCGTGGAAAATCAGAGTCCATGAAACACTCCGACCGAGACATATAAATGTCGACCTTTCTACCGACCTTCATGCATACATCCTGACACTCTCTAATGAGCCTGCAACACAGCCTCGCCTTCAGACACTCATTCTGGTCTCCAAGTACTTGCCTTGGAGAACTCATGTTCTTGCTCAGGGTGACTGCGTTTCGGTGCGAGACTTGATGTCAAGTTTATATACCGCAATGCGTACGCGTGTCACCCAGGAAGAACTGAGGCAAGCAAAGTATGTTACGGGTGTACAGCAGGCATTTGCTAGACGTGTGCAGGGTAAAGGACACGAAGAGGCCCGCCGAAAGGGAATACGCCGGGTGGATTTTTTGCTCCAGAACACCAGATTTGTTGGGATCGCAGAGACGGATGACCCCAAGGTGTGGGAAATCCGTCTTGCGCCAACATCTCATCGTTAAGCGCTGTCAATGGGTGCTGTGTGCTGCTGTCGAAGGTAAGTTTGGGGTCCTGTAGCTGTGTTAGTCGTGGGAGAGGCGTGATTTTAGTTGATCCGCATACCTAAGTTAGATTATCTGTAACGTTATCCATTATCAAGTTGTTATACAGCCGTGATTGACGTGATCGACGGACACATGCTCCAGTTGCTGGGCCTGTTGTTTGCCGCCTATATGGCTTCGATCAAGAAAGATGGTCAGAACAGAATATCATGGGCTCGGAAACACGCTTGTACCGGTAACAGAAGTTGTCCAGGCGCTTGCCAAGCGCTGAATCCTGTCCTCGGGAGTAAAACAGTAAAACAGTATGAATTGGTCGACTCCGCTAATACAAGCTCAGGTAAACAATAGTAAACTACTGTGGACCTCGCCGACTCGTCAATAAGACCAAAGGAGAGGAAATCTAAGTAGAGTAAAGTCGGGAGGTCTAATTGGAAGTATGTTCTCGTAAGCGAGGGTTATTTTGGGAGCCTAAACAAGAGAATACATGTTCAAGTATAAGTGATGGTGAATCAAGTCTGTAACAGCTTACCGTGGATAAGATACGAAAAACAAGAAAAGACTCAACATCAAACAAAGAAAAAGTGATGCACACACCGGACGAAAGTTTGTCACAACTTATTTCTTCAAGAGAAACCACGAATAGCTCAGTCTTTGAATCAGTGGCTATGGGGTAGTAGCAAGACCTGAGCTCTATCCGACGAGATCATCATCAACATCACAACAAGACAGCGGACTATGTTTAGTACGTGGCGCAACAACATTGCGATTGAACGGGCCCCGGTTCTATGGCTCGATTCTGGTCGATCATAATACAGAACAAGGATATGGCCAAGTAAAACGATCACAAGATTCACAACCAGATGGTCGGCCAAAAAGCGGATTGGACGTCGAGGGTCAAGTTCAAGGTTCGAAACATGACTCGGAGCCGGGCCGCGCGCTCGCTCGCTCTTGGAGCAGCAGAAAGCTTCTTGATCTTCTCTCGACGTCGAAACGTAGGCGTTTTGATCTCTACATCACTCAGGCTCAGGTCCTCTGGACCACAATGTTAATTTCCCAATATAGCTTATTTTCTGCGTTCAGATTGGCCTTGATCAGTCGGAGCTATCGACTGTTTTGGGACGGGGAAGATTTCTGATACTATGTGCTCTTCTTATTCCAGTTCCCAACGGTAAGTGTCCTTTATGTTTATCAGGAAAGCGCTCTTATGTGGAGCAGAGTTAGAATTGATACAAAAACGCCCAATAATACACCGTAAGAACAGGGCTGATTTCAATTTCAGTGTATCAGAATGGTGACATCTGTAGCAGCCTTTACCAGTGATCAATTAATTGCAACCGTGTCAAGCTTAGTATCGAGTAAGGAATCGATGCACCTGTGGCGTGGAGGTGAACTCTCAGTTCCTGCCGAGCCTTCCTTGTCTCGGACTCGACGACTACACCAGGTATGGTGATGTGGATCTTGCATGTGCCGCAGGCGATAGAAGCTCTCATGCTACTGTTGTGTTAGAATAAGGCAGTTGGTCTTTGCACCTACTAGCTGGTCTAACTCATTCATCGATACAGCACCGAGGCTTACCGAGATACAATCTTTCAAGACCTTCTGAAGTAGACATATTCTTTTCTCCTTCATTCTTACGATTTCGACAGTAGCCTCAAGGGGAGTATGTGAATGAGCGGTCGAAGCCATATGGTACGAAGGTCAAACGATCTGACCGTGCAGCTGCACCAAAACGCATATTCTGAGAAACCAGAGGGTAGTTAAGTAGTATTATATAGCCATGTCGCATGTATACCCATTGGCTACAGTATAGGATGTTTCGTCAATAAGTAATTCTGAAAGGCACTTGTTAGCTATGTTATGATCTGAACCTCTTTGAAGGCTCTACGCACCGGCCTTTATTATTCCAGGCTTGAATCCCTACGTATCCCCTTAGTGTCGTGAATAGCTGAAAAGATACGAAATAGCCAACGCATGTCTTCTAACTTCAAGTTTCAGGAATCAATGCCTCAAGCTGGTTGAATACCTTGTGAGAATGTAAAAAAAATTGATATACTGACGTCCATCCCCTCTATTCTCTGACCTGGGGTCGAACCCAGCTCGCATGCATTCCAGTGATCGATGCTAGATAGACAAACAGAGCTTGTTGAGTGTAAAGGATACGGGCGAATATAGTTGACCTGCTACAATTCTGAGCTGGAGATCAGTTGTAGGGTTGATCTTAAATGAAGATATGAATATCCAGCGGTATTACTTGTTTGAGACGAGTTCGGGGTTTCCTAGGGCATCGCAGTATTACTGCTAGCAAAAGGCCATAAATGTTCGAACACGAATAGAGCGATCTATAGCCGTCTTGTCCGACACCTTAAAGCCTCGTGCATCGTGGAAGATTGATACCGCACACATGTAAGGGTCCTCGGTTTTCTTCAAAAACTCGATTGGTCTAGAAGATAGCCACGAGGCGAGGCGGTGCTAGTTTAGAAGCCGGACGTCCATAAAAATAGAAAACGCGTCTTTCGCCGGAACTTCCTTCATTGCTCTCACGTTCATTTGTGGTGGGTTTGTTTCTCACCTTTCCTAGGAACCAGAGACCCTGAGGCAACCCTGAGGAAGATGAAAATCAGAGTGTAAAGCTTTTGGTGACCGAGCGCAACATGCAAGCTCAGGACGACCTGTCAGGCTGGGTTTTAACTTCCCAGTACGATCGTCCGGGAGCGATAACTGGGCGCCGAATGACTCGTCTTATCACAGGTTGCCTTTGTTCAGTGATTGATGCCGAATGGAGAGATCCAGATCTGGTATGTTTGGGTGGCACAAACATGGCTCCTATAAAAGGCCGATGTGGTTTCCCCCGCTCTTTCTCTTCTCTTCTCTTCCCTACCGCCACCCCAACAAATCCACTCCTATGAACCTGACGCTTTCACTAGTATATACTCGACATCAATGACGCTTATCAGTCGCTCATGACCGGTTCGCCGCAACACGACCACCTACTCATCATCAGGCTTATACGAGCTCGACTTAGGTCTTCAACGCTGTTATGGCTCTCTTCGATAACGGCGGATATCGACTATCAGTCTTAGCATGCATTCGACACACAAATGTCATGAATCTGGGCGATTTTTTTGAGCCACATCTGATAGGCCACTGGTAATCTGGCGCCACACAACTCCGAAACTCTGTCGCACCCTCCGAGCTATGCCACTCAAAGCCTGATATCCTTTGATCACTAGCCTTCCAACGTCGTTTTTTTTTTGGCCAAATCTTCGTTGAGCCACATTGACCAACCAACGACACCTTTGCGCCACATTCATGAAAGTAAGCGTTCTGCCTCCTTGTCTTCTACACCACTCTGATCCAATTGTTAGATGCAATATTACACATCCGCATAGATCGCAACACTCGCGGATGATTACTAGTGTCGTAAACCACCATCGACGATAATATTCTCCGCGGCCTATTACGCTGTGGGTCAGATCATGGACATCTGCTGGTGAACTGGGGCTCTTGATTGTTCTGTGAACGAATGACACTACCACAGAAGCTACGCTACAAGTATTTCGCAACGTTGCATAGTGGTGAGTGCATGTCCATTATCGCACCTTCGATAGCTCTGATGATCATTCTAGTTTACCTGCAAGATATTCCTCGCCGTTCGAGTTGATCATTGCAAATAACGAAGGGGTCAACTTCAAGATCATCTTGTTGACTGAGGCTGGACTCTTGTGAACAACAGGAAAGGCATACGAAACCATCTTGCGCATCTCAAGCCACGAATATTAGCTGAGTTCCTGTTACAAAGTATCATGTTTTCTCTGGGCGCTTGTGCTCCTTGTTTTGTTGTGGCTTCCTATCAGTCTTTGTTTTCTCAACCTATTTCTTCAGGCATATGCCTCTTCGAGGCATAGTCGCTGCAGGTGAAGCTTCGGCTTACACCCCTGATTTTTGGAAACCTTCTCTGCTTCGCGCAGAGTTTTCTTCTTTGTGTCTTAATCCACAGATAGGCTTTCATCCTCGTAAGTTCTCTCTTCCCTTGCATTCATTCGCATGTCATGCCAAGCCTGCTATTCAGTCTTCATTGTTCCGTCTCGATGGGGTCCGTCATCTGTTTGTGTTCTGGGTTCGTTCAATCTTCCCTTGGAGCCTTCATTATTCTCATCATTCTCTTACCGATTCCTTTTATCATCGTTGGGCTGTCAAACCAACTATTGCTTGTATATCCACGCACAGTCTGTTGCGCCATGTCCTCGTTTTTGCCACATCATTTGGAGGCCTCGAACGTTTTCTTGTCAATTGCTTGCTACGTCATATAATATTCCGTACCGCCTTGCGGACCATGTGTACAACACACGGGCCGCCGGTTGGGGTACGTCTCGCTTTCCCTTTCTTTGTTGCGTCGCTGATGGCCGATGCGTATCAGGTTGAACTTATCATTTGGTTGTATCGCTAAATTTGTTCATGTATATCAACGCGCAGCCTGTTGCGTCATGTAAATCTCGTCCTCTTCTCTTTCCTTCCGTTTGGCTGTCTTTCCAAACAATGTCATGTATATCCTCGCGCGGTCTGTTGCGCCCTGTACTTTCGGTGCCGCCTTGCGGACAGTGTGTACAGCACACGGGCCGCTGGTGGAGGTGAGTCTGACCTTCATTCGTTTACCGTTTGGACTGACATTTTGATTGCGAGTGAATTATCTTTTCTGTAATCTTGGCAAACGATTCTCTAATTCGCTTTTCCGGACTGGGTCTTGGCTTTCTTTTTCTGTCTTGAGGTCCCCATCCGTCCCGAAACGTCCCTCTGGGCACTATTTCTTTAATCTGTTTCTTGGTGGCCGATCCTTGATTCGGTTTTCTGGACTGGTCTCTGGCTTTCTGTCTTCTGTCTTTTCATCTTCCTGTCCGTTCTGTAAAGGTTTACTTGGCACTGTATCTTTAATTTGCATCTCCTGAACGTGGACAGCCGGTAGTTTTGCCGTGGTAGGCATCGAGGCTACTGTCTCGATGTCTCAATTTTTGGAACTTCAGTCTGCTTCGCACGGACTTTCCTCCTTTATTCCCGTTCAAGCACTACAGGTAAGGTTTTGAGGTATATGACACACTGTACGTGCTGATCTCTCCTCTTCAGATATATGCTTCCTTGTCATAGAATTTCTTGTGCCTCGCAGTAGAGTTGAAGGACCGCAGCTCTCCACACGATGTTGAAACTCAACATATGTTGGCGTTAGGTACTTGTATATTGTAGACTTGTCCGGCGGCAATATCTCACTCGGGGCAACTGTAACAAGGTGCCCTCTATATTGAGGACGTGTATTTTCTTTATTTTGGCATGTCATTAGCAGTGGTGCAGGTAAAAGCAGATTTTTGTCCCCTGTTCAAGTTTTTACCGCTTTTCATCGTTTTTTTCTTGTTTTTCGTGTCGATCGCAGAAAGACCTGCTTCCTTCGAGAGTGTATTGCAGTGAGGTATGTTTCGTTGTACTCGCTATGCGCTATAAGCCCGGCGGAGAGTGGGACTATTTGTGGAGGGTGTTTCCGTCAGGACTGCGCAATTTACAGTGGAACGCGTCTGTGGCGTGGGAGTCACGGCAAAATATTTCGGCCCGAATGCCGAAGGAACGTCGCTTCGCACTTCGACGACCTCTTGAAGTTGTACACTGAACAGATACATCTTTTTTTATAAGCTCGATCCACAGTGCCTGTGGTCATTGCTGTAGAGAAAGAAGACAATATCAGGTTCGTGAATTTCGTATTAGGCTAATGATGGCTACAATAGGAGGTGGGAACAGCGAGCGACTATGCATTTACCCATACCGCTACTAACGGGTGCTTCTCTAGGTACCAATACGAAGAAATCTTCCATCAATAAGTCGCAAGCTGTCTCGATGGTGCCTAAATTCGAGCCTTTTAACTCGCCCGTTCATTCCTTGCCACCTGAAATCCTGTCTGAGATATTTCTCCTCTCACTCGAAGGGCCATACCACATTCTCGGTCCTCTGCACGACGGTCCATGGTTAATAGGGAGAGTCTGTCACCGGTGGCGGGTCATTGTCTGGGGTTATTCCGCTTTGTGGTCGTCTTTTGTAGTGGGTTGGCCACGACCAAGACAAGAAGACACTGGAAGGAGACTCCTCGGGGAGGCGCTTCGGCGGACTGGACAGAGAGGGCTTTCCGTGAAGATCTGGATATGTGACGCTTTTCCAGATGTCATTACTGAGACATTGCTGCAGCATTCGTCGCAATGGGAAGCCGTCGACCTATGTGGTCCGGCACCCAATCAATGGATTCAATTATCGGAGCTCGGTTTGCATTTCCCATCATTGAGATTACTTGCCGTGAACCATACTTCTTCCGCGGAGCTCCCCGCCGTCTTGAGCATGTTCAAAGATGCGCCCAACCTCAAATCTCTCCAAATTAACCTACACAATCCCCATCCGTTGTCTTTTCACCCCGCCGCGATAAAATTTCCGTGGTCGCGTATCACAGATTTGAAAATGTCTATTGAGGGTCGAGTGGGGCCGAGCGTCGAGATTCTTCGTCTCTGTTCGAATCTTGAGGTTTTGGAGGAGAGTTGTGGTGTATTCGTCCCCGAAGCAGTCACAGACCCTGTTCCATTAACACTTCGGATACTCCGTTCACTCAGTGTTGGTTCCCCTCTATTTCTACGCTACATCACTTGCCCAGCACTAGAACATCTATCCATTGCTATCCCACACAGACTTCCATTTTCCGAGAGAGACCTTTCTCGATTCTTTGTCCGTTCTGGGAGTCAGCTGCAGACTCTCAAACTAGGTTCGCTAGCGCAGGACATTTCGGACCCACGTCAATTGTTCTCATGCATTCCCCAGCTTCGCAAGTTATTCCTCGGTTTCCAGGGCTGCGATTATTATGGAAACCTGACAAGAATTCTCACTTCTATTCGTTCGCAAGACGCAGGAGTGATGATCCCTCGCTTGTCTGTTCTGGAGCTGAGTGTGGATGAGATTTTTACGGGGAAAATACAACTTGAAGGACGGGATGAGATACTGATTGGTATTATTGTTGAACGTTGGGATGTTCCTCAGGAATCGCGGGTTACTCGGTTGAATCAAGTTCGCATCTCGTGCGAATTTATGGGGTTCACCGATTACATGGTCACGCAACAGTATGAAGCTGCTCGAAACCGGACTCTGGCCCGCGTCGATCGTCTGAAATTGTTCAAGACGGAAGGGTTGGATATTTCCATTATTGCCAAACAAAGTAGTCCTTCCTTCCTTTGCCTAGCGTGATTTTTGCTGAAATCATTTACAGCGAATATAGAGGGACCGCTCGAGGACCATGTTTTACTGGCGTGATCTGAGTACCACATATCGTATAAAATTCTTTTGTTGTGACTGTCGGAATGAGGGTTAATCAAAATTATTCACCGAAACCTGAATAAGACACGGTACACCCTTTACCCACAGCGTCTACCTTGCTCTTAAGCCCGTGCGGGACGTTTCCAGCAACCTGGCAGAATACGAAACGGAGAAGATTAGTACTACTCGATCACAGGGCCTCCCAACTGGTAAATCAGTCATACTCTTCTCTTTTTAGTGAGATATGGTCCTCAGATTCTCGAGGACCATAAATACTGCAATCTTACTGGTCTCATGTGGTCTATCAGCTATTGCACCCGTGATACCTCACCTGGGTTCGACTCCCAGTGGGAACATGTACCGCTAATGAAGGAAGTGTTTGTGTGGATGATTTTTTCTCATCGTGTGCGGTTTCTTCTGCCTCTCAGGGCTACCGCCATTGGCTAATTCGACTTCTTTTAAGCCTCGTTACAAATCCCTGCCAAGTTATCCTTGTCTCTGCGAATTGACTTTGATGTCCAAATAGCTCGGAGTCGCTGGATTCATCGCCTGTGGCTTGGGTGCAGTCACGATTACTCTGTCAATTTCAGTACGTGAGTCGTGAGGTCTGGTTCGGCTTCACCAGTGTTTATGCTTTTCTCTCCTGCGAGTACTTACTTAAATCCGTGGATGCAAGTTTCCATTGTCGAAGTCTATGTGCGTATATAGGCCAGTACTACTCCGCCATTGGGTTTGACTCGTAGCGAGATAATGATAGCGACTCTAAGCTACTACTAATGGAGTCAACACTTGCTTCTGTCCACAAAACGAGTCGTACTGGTACGCGCCTACATATTCGTTGTGGAATGAATGCTGAACGAACTAAGCGCAGGGTGAAAGTAATCCAAGTCTTTGAACGGCTCGCTTTCAACAAGAGAGGACACATCTTAAATTGTGCACTCACCATTCAGTCAGACGATGCATATTTCTCCCGTGAAAACAAGCAGTAGTGAATCAGTCGGTTCTGCGGTCACTGGTACATCGGTAATGCTTCCTGGGTTCGATACCCAAATGACGGACACCATCTATCAGGCCTTGGGTTTAGCAACGAGGAGCAGCAACGGATTGAAACCCCTGCTTTAGGCCACGTACCTCCCAACCCAATATTTGAACCTTCAACCCAAGCAAGAGACGAAAGAAGGGTGCACCGCCGACTAGCTACGGGGTTAATGTCAAAGAAAGGTAGATAGATCCAAGCGTTCAAACTAACTCACCCCGTTCATGTCGCTGTTCGATAATGAATCATGTTCGATCCACTGCTCATCTCCGACTCAGTTAACGAACACATGATTCCCTAGCCTGGTGACAGAACTTTACCTCGAGCGGGTGCAGACAAGGGATGACAGCAGACTCATCCAACGTCCGCGGTAATAGAGCTCGAGTATTGTATCTTTAGATGTTGTGTGTGGCCTGGCCCAATGGCGAGGAGGACTGAGGGCTTGGTATGATGGCGGAACGGGAGGGCTCCCGGTTAGTAGGTGGCCAGGGTTGAATATAGATGTGAAGGGAAGGTGTCCGCTACCCATCGCAACGTCTCGTATGACGACGGGGAATGGATGTTAAAAGACGAGGCAGAGATTGTGTACGGTGTGCTGGCGTAGAACCCGTCGTTATGTAAGAGGGTGTGGAGCAGGAGAGTCAGAGTTAATAGGCGTGAAGCATACGACGGTTCGTGCGTCCTCGCGGTCGACGGGAGAAGCAAAACTACCGTTTCACTCCCCTTCCTTCACAAATACAATGACTCGTCAACACGGGGATCAAACATTCACAAACCATCCGGTCCCGCGACGGACATAAGTTGTGAATCACAGAAAACATGCATCGTATTATTCCTGAGTCAGTCGGTTCTTGGAACGGTCGGTAGCGAGAATCACCCATCAGGTTCGCTCTCCCTCAAAAGCCCAGTATTCAGTTCTCAATGTTTTTCACCATCCCCACCGACGTCTTCACCTCCAGTGAGTACCCTCACTCTCTCCACTACCAATTTCCAAATGATGCTCTATCGACATCGCCCAACGTGTCCGTGTGACGAAAAAAAATTAACACGACTGACCTATTTTTTTTTTGGCTCATCGTTCCCGTTTTTATTTTTTGGCTTGCCCGCTTTGAATTCCATCGCAGGGAGGGAGTTTGGTAACAACGAACGTATAATTATGGTGGGCGCTTTATATTCATAGCCAGCGCTTGACGAACACTTATTTTGGAGCTCTCGACGCAGAGAAAGAATCCTTGAGAGGATGGCATCCGCTTTGGTCATGGCACTAAAATGTACAGGTGATCAGTACCCATTGCAGTTACCCTTCACTCATTATCAAATACAGGACCAGGACGTCGAGGGAGCCAGGATATTCTTTGCGGAGGGGAACATAGACACGAGGTCGTTAATATGTGCCAGGCCATGGATACGAACAGGTCAGGTCGAGCGATCGGATGATGGGACGAAAGACTCGTATTCAGTTCTGATGTTCGCTACCATCAACATTGTCGGTGAGTACTTATCCTTACTCTGTCCCCTACGAAATGATGCTCTATCGACATCGCCCAACGGGCCTGTATGACGAAAAACAAACACGACTGATCAGCCTCCCCTCATCGTTTGATCGTTCATGTTTTGCTTACCTGCTTACTATTTTCAAGCCTCGGTAAATCCACCCGATCCCGCGACGTATTTTCAAGTCAGCCGACACTTGTCGGCAGCGAGAATAATCCATCAGACTTGCCCTCCCTCAAAAGCTGATTCGTATTCAGTTCACTATCCAACCTCGCCGGTGAGTAATTCATACTTTACTCTATTCCCGACTTGCGAATGATGCTTTATCGACATCGTCCAACTTGTCTACGTGACGGAAAAAAACAAACACCACTGATCAATTTTCTCTCATCATCGAGAGTTCATGTTTTGCTTACCCACTTTGAAAAAGCTCCTTCGGAGGTTTAGTGACGATGGACGTATAATTATTGTGCGTACATAGTTTCGTAATGCTTCATAACCCGACGCCTAGTGAACCTGACTCCGAGAATCCTCCGCAAAAGGATGTCTGCGTCTTGCCCACGTCAGTATCCGTCTCGTCCTCGCATGTATCACCCTTCTTCTATCAAATACAGGACAATGACGAGATTCAAAAGAGAGTACATCCGAAGGAGAAGGCGGACGTCAGAGTGGAGGTTATCCACGATTCATGGCACCCTAATCGTGCACCTGAGGCTGCGAATACAGGAATTTGTGTAGGGGGACGCCGGTTTTTTGGGTACGATTCCTTTTGCGACAGTCCATATCCAGCACCTGATTCTGAAAACCCTCGCCAGTCTCCCCGCTACGCTGCATGAAAACGATCCCAAGAGAACATCGGCTTTGGTTGGAACATGCAATCACTCGTATCGAGGTGTACGACGCCATAGAAAGATGCAATCACCCAATACCTGCACGCTGGTGAAGCGTGGCGAATTTGGCACCCCGGCGTGGACCCTCATAATGTTTCTTGCCCTGACCCACGAACACGCAGCTGACGTGATCGCGCATGCTCCCCCATCTCGGCTCGTGGGTTTATCACACCAGACTACCGCCATGTAGACCCTGCCCTGTGCTCTACGTTCTCAGATGTTCACCATCCCCGCTCTTCGCTCTGTACCCTCCCGCCTTGTACCCCCCGTATCAAAGGCGTTGTCTTCCTGTACGAATATGAAGGAGGGAAAGCAAGCAGAGGGTTTTCGCTGGCGTTGTTAAGCCTGTTTAAGCTTTACACACCGGACAACGAGTGTGTTCATAAGCTGACTGGTGTTGGCGCTTGGGACTGGGCAAGGGATCCGCGTGGCATGTGAGTTTGTGGAGATGACATGAAACCCGTCGGATTGATTTCGAGATATGTGCACTATTAGGGAGCAAGAGGCTGGATATTTAATGGACAGTGGAATATAGAATATTGGTATGAGCACCGTCCTCAAGCAGGCCATACCGAATCTCTGCACAGAGAGGAGGTCAGCAACGGCAAGTACCACGGAAGGATATACTCACTAGTACTTCCTTTAACCAAGATGGAGATATGCAATCCTTCCGCTTTCAACGATCGACGCACGACAAAGCAGTCTTCGCCCCTACAACAACTCACCCACGCTTTTCCCGTAGAAATCTTGCCTACGCGCAGTTCAAGGACAGACAAGGATCCTTGTCGTCGTCTTCCGAAAGAAGAGACCTAATTGGCGAAACTGGGCCCATGGAGTCCTGAACACGCAGAGAATTGATGAAATAACGGGAACGGACTTGATGGCCAGGAGCATGGTGAATGATAGGTACTCCAATACCGGACAGGCGAGGCATTGGAGTAAAAGAACGAGCGTCAGCGGGCAATGGGATCTGGAGTGCGCTCCTTTCCGTTAACTCGTAAAGCCTTGACGATGGGGCACCATCGTTCCGCAAGACAGACAAGTGCAAGTGTGTGAGATGCGATCAGGGAAAGGGAGTTTTGTCTGGGTGGAAGTGTATCGGTAGGGGCATTACAACTACAAATCTGAGGTTGGGTACGTAGCTCTGGATGGTGAGGAGGCTCTTGGGAAGAAAGTAAGGATCCAGGCAAAGCAAGGGGAAACGGGCAGGAGAAGAATCAGTGAGTCATGATGTATGACCGTCGGCGGGCCCAAAGATCAATCATACGGCCTGAGGGTTTGACAGTTTCCCATTGTGGCGGATGCTGCTGAGTGATGGCGTCGTGGCAAAGTACACTGGCACCAACGTCCATGCTCTGTCCGCTCCGCTTCCTTATTTCGATATCCAACCGCTCTGTTCGACTCTGTCGTTGTGGCAGATTCACTTTATGTAAAAGACGACCACAGCGCAGGATAACACCAAGCGATATCTCGCCACCAGCGGCAGACTCTCCCCAGTAGCCATGGACCCCCGGCATTGAGAATAGACTAGGGTTCTTTGATTATGAGGAAGACAGGATATCGGGAGGAAGAGAATGGATAAGCGAGTTGAATTCAGGGATGGGAGGCTTGCAATTGGGTGGAAGATTCCTTCGCGTTAGTACCTAGAGAA